ATTCCTTTTAAGCATGTTCTAATTGTGATGCCCATTCAGAGCTACACAACATAACATATGGGCATAATTAATTAATTAATTATGTCAAAATCGTTGAAACAAACGAATATGCTAAATTTTTTTGTATGTAATTGATTAATTTTTTTAATTAATAAGGTCTTTACATGGCACAATACAGTCAACATATATAGACACAATTAATCAATTTAAATATGAATAATAAATTATTTTATAAATGTTAGATATTAATAAATAGATTTAAAGGAATTAGATCTCTTTAAGTTATGTTTGTTAATGTATGTTAATTTAACATATCTAAACAGGACATATACAAATTAGACGGATTAATTCATATATTACATAAAAGTTTTTGCCTATCAATACAAGTATAATATAAATATAATTACATAAAATTCGAACTTATTTAATTTTATATATTGTATTATCAGATGATGTTTAAAATTATCCATTTTACTTAACTCAAGTAACAAGCGTTGAATAAGGTTTAAACAAAGATTTTATCTTAAAAGTTAATGTTTTCTTAATTGTAGAATAATTGAATAAAGTGAGGAATGGATTTAAATTGTAGAAGAATGTTCCTAATTTGTCGGCGATATGGAGAGAATAGTGGTGAATTGCTTGGGACCAAAGGGGTAAGAATAGTTTTTTGTCAAAAAAAATAAATGTGGAAATGAAAGAAGCATTAAATGATAGACAAAGCACAGGTCAAGAACATCGGCTTGCAGGTGGCTTTTACAATTCATTAGAGGGCGGCAGCGTCCGACAGGGATTGTTTTGCTTGATGAAAGTTTGGTGGGCTTTAGTGTGATGGCCCATACAGTGTTGGCGTACCCATCATTTTCTGAAACATATGGTCCATCCAACCTTCTTTAATTTAACTGCAACCATGCAGGGGCTTCCCCCGCCATGGCCCTCCACGATATTTCACAAGGCGTGCACCGGATTTGTTTGGTCCACTCCAAGGACTTTCACGTCTTGCCTTATATGTTAATGCCTTTGGATATATGACATTTACATATAAAGCTCACGTAAACCATATATTTAAATTTGGAATAATCAAATCACTGGTATTAATTAGTATATATGTTAATTTGAATTTAATGACTGAATCAATTGTCACCAATAAACAATCAAATGTAAATTCACATATATATATATATAAGTAAATAAATACTTAAATATTTGATTCATTAATTAATATATAATTTTTTATTTAAAAAATATAATATAAATTTTTTTCAATTATATATATATATAAGTCAATGGGGTAAATCTCACGTACATGCATCAAAATGTAAAGTTCACCATGGTGTTAATCCCACCATCCCATGCAACATGCTTATACAGTGTACTCTTTGGATTGTCCTTAAAGCATGTCTTTTTCAAATAATTGCAATTTTAAAAAATGAAAAAAAAAAAAACATGGTGAGCTCCTAACTAATTAATGTCAGCATGTCGTTATTGTGTAGTGCTAAAGTAAGGTTGTAATTTTGTAATGACTTATTGTGTAATGTTACGATAAAGATAATTAATATAATATGATTAATTAATCGTATTAAAAAATTTATATACAAACACGAATTATTTATAACACAAATATAACAAAATAACGTAATTAACATGTTTAATTAATAAAGCTCGTATATAATAAAATATAATTAACCTATCTAGAAATAATGCAAATAATATATTTAAATATGATTAACTTATTTAGATACAGTTCTTCCCAAAGAAACTTATTTAAATACAAATAATGAGTTACTTTACATATTTTTAATATCCTAATAAATGAATTTAAGCAAATTATATGGATCAAGTTAAGTGGATTAACGTATTAATATGATTAATTAAATATGTATAAATAGATTACATCCAATGGGTCAACCTTGTATAAAAAATCATGAACATTTCCATATCATGAAAAGTTGAGATAAGCAAAGATTATATAAAATCTAAACCCACTTAATTTCATGCCATATTAAATGTTAATTAATTGTGTAAAAAATAATCAGTGCTGACATAAAGTCAGTCTTCCATGACACACTCCCTCCCCATGTTCCTCTCCTCATGACTACCCTTTCCTCAACTTTTCCTTCTTTTTTTATTTTTATTTTTCCTTTTTTCCAAATAATCCTGCTTATCATGAATAGTGTTTTTTTTTTTGGATTAAAAGTTGAAAAGAGTTTATCATGTAATCCTCATTAGCAATTTATGAGAAAACGTGTAACATGAACAAAATAATAAAATAAATTAAACTTTCCAATATATTGGAAATGCTTTTTAAAGTAACACTAATTATACATCAACATGATGTGATTTATCTAACCTTATTTAAACAATCGTACCTTTTAGGAAACATGAATCGTGTAGGCGCCATTGAACCTTTCATCTAAGTCAAGAAAAGCATTAATTTTGTCAATTAATTCACAATCGAACAAACCCTACACAAGTCATAAATCCAAACAACTTTTGCCCCTCGTTTTTTTTTTTGTTTTTTAATTTTTGAATAACGTGAGATTTGTTAATAGAGTAGCTCCCATTTCAAAATTAAGTGGGACTTACCATCCTGTTTAAATTGCTTTTATTTTTGTTCTGATTCAAGAATTCCCAGAGAGAGATTATGAGGCTAACAGCAGTTGCAACGTCTCTCAAAATCCTCCATAAAAGTTACTTAAAAAACAAGATTCCAAATTTTCAAAATTTAATGTTAGCAATATACTATATAGGATAGATACATCCTATGTATACCTCACGTGTCAAATATTTTATAATTAAAGAAGTTCTTAAATTATTAAAAAAATAAATAAAATTTTATTTGTTATTATATTCAATTAAATTTTATAATTTTATTTTAAACTAAATAAGTTTTTATGGGTCAAATGACATCTTTCATTTTTATACTCATGTGATGATGATATAAATATGACTATATAAATATGCCACATGACATAACAAAATAACAAATGTTATTTAATTAGTTAACTATTATTCATAAGAATATATTTTGTTCAAAATAAAAATAAAAGATTTAGATTGAACGTAATAAAATAATAAAAATTTATTTAAATTTTTTAAATAATTTAAAATTTTACTTATAAAAAAATAGATTTCAGTAATTTTTAAAATATTATGCAAAAATGTTTTTGGAGAAAACAAAGCATGATATGGTTGAGTATAAATGCACCTCATTATACTTATTTGATTTTGATTGTGGATATAGAATAAATCAAATATCATAGCAACACTTTATATATATATATATATATATAATGTTATAGTAACGCATAATTCTTGTATAAGGGGAATAAGGTGGAACAGCTGCGTAGTAAAAATAAACATAACCACAGTCCACAATAAAGGTCGTGTGTTTTTTCTTTTTGAAAAATTAAGAATGTAATGTAGCTACCTACCAAACGAAACAAAGAAATTTCAAGCCCTTTATTTTTAGTAAATTCATTCTATTGCTTTTAGTATTATTTGGGTTTTTTTTTTTTTATTTCCCTCGAAACTGGTAGTTGAGGGAATTCGACTCATGATCTTTTCTAGATCACCCATCAACTCTTTTTCCTGATTTTTGACATGGAAAATAAGTCAAAAAACAATATAAAAGCAAAGCTTCTTCCACATTTGATTCATCAAAAGTCATTTTCCTTTTTTTTAATGGTGGGACCAAAATTTCAAGTACTCATCCGTCTTAACCTTCTATTTCCACAAAAAAGTAAAAAAAAAAAAAGAAAGTATATAAAATTAATTTTGTGTATGTGTTGGTGTGATTAAATAATTAATTTGAACATTAAAGTAATTATTAAGCTTTGATTTTCTTAACCAAAAATCAAAATAAAATGTATGGTAGTTTTGTTTTTTTATGAAAATGATCACATGACCTCCACGTCACCAAATAAAAAATGGAGATCTGGCATTTCTATGTAAATTTGTTTTACCGTACTATATAAAGAATTATTAAGGAGATACGAAGGAAAGAAAAACTGTAATAGTGTGCCTCCCTGTGTAAACGGAAGCAGAGATCTTAAAGCTGAAGTGTGTTGTTAAGACTTAATAAGAGAAGCACTGCACAGATCTAAAGACGACTTGACTTCCCTTTCCTTTCCCTCCCGCCCTCTTTCCGCCATATGACGTAAATTATATGGTTATGTATATTTCTATATAAAAGGAGACAGATACAGTGACAGCAGGGTGACCAACTGTCTTGCTTTCCATTGGCATTTCTCTTGTACGGTAGATCTCAAGCTGCCTCAACCTCTCTCTCTCTTGCTCTTTGAGGAAAGCTGCATTCTAACAAACCAAAGAAAAAAAAAAAAGGAACAGAGATAGACAGAGAGAAGAAAGAGAGATGGGGTTGGGAGTGGAAACAGCAGCAGCATAAGAGTGTCATGGTAATAGTTGGAAGCGAAGATGATGAATAGGAATCTAAGGGAATCTTTGGTGGGCGGGGGGAGGAATAATATCAATGTTTCGGCGGCGTCCCATCATCACCGCCGTGGTCAAAGTTTGACCGGAGGATTATTTACCAGGGATTCCGACGAGAATTTGGATCTCTTCTCCAAAAACCGTCGAAGCCTCTCCGTCGCCTCCTCCGATGAATCCTCCGACGGTACAAAACAATTCACCTATTTTCTCTGAAACTTTACATTTCTTCTCTGCTAGCCCTTGGGGACCTTTCTATTCATTTCATCTTTTTGTTAAATTAATTTCATACTAGAATCAGTCTGTCGGTTACAAGCGGGCAGTTAGCTAAGCTGCTTCTCAATTATTTTTGGAAGAAGAGAAAGATGTTTTCTTTTGGATAGAAAATGATTGATGGTTTCAATTCTATTCGCCATGAAACTATAGCCTCAGGGCCGAAGGAACGATGTCGTTTTAAGTCAATGAAAATTGACCCGAATGAAATGAAACCGCTTTAGTTTTCAAGTGTTTAAATACAAAGTCTGATGTTTGGTTTTTGTTGTGGCAGTAAAACTGGGAAGACTATCGCTTGGATCAGCGAACGTGGGAAAGGGTGGCCTGGATGATCTACTTTCGTCTACAGATGGAGGAAAGCATGACTATGACTGGTAAATCATTATTAGTAGCAGTAATGATAACATAATAATTTTCTTTCTTTGTTTCAGATTAATCACAGGTTTTTCATTTCATTTCCAAATTTAAACTAATCAATTGCCATGCAAAACTCTTCATTCCATCGTATTCTCTTTGGATCTGTTTGGTTGCCATGATGTTTCAACTTTGAATGGGAGTTATCTTTTACTTATTTCTACCCTCAATGATCAAATTGATGTTTTTTCCTTTATTTCATTTCATTTTTTGCTATTTTGCTGCTTTACCTCAGAGCAACTTCTGAGAAAGGATAACAGAAGATGGGGAAGCTCTCCCAAATCTCTTGGTTGCTCTCTTGGTAAAGGCATTCAGATATACCAGTTAGGCTAATGTGTAGGTACAGTTCAATTTTTTTTTTCCCAAAAGCAATAGTTGAATTCTCCCCTAGCTAACACCTTTCCCTTGAAGCTATGATGTTATGGATCATAGCACTAGACACGCCCACTTTGCCCCAATGCCTAATGTTTCTAAAGAATATCACTTGAGGCTGGTACGTAATGCACAGAATGCAGAATAGAAACATCTGAATGAACGACCTTTCTTGATGTGAATCTCTACCTATCATGTTGTCTTTACGCCTTTCAAATTGTCTTTGGTTGATCTAAAAAATTGTATAATAATAGCATACTTACAATGTTGACTTACTTAAGTAAACAAATAACCTTTAAAAGCTAAACTTTAATTTTTATAGTGGTTAAACAACCTTTTTTGACAACTCTTATGGGTAATGAATTCCAGTGGTCACTCAATTGAGACTTGAATTTGGAATCAGTGTTTGGAAATCTTTGTTTCTCTCAATGTATAATAACTACTTATGTCATTAGGCTTCTAACTCCACCGGGGACTCCACTTTTTCCTTCGTCTGAGGGATCTGAATCTCAGTCAACTTCACTAGCTCCAAGAAGCAATTCCAAAGTTAGATCAGTTTCGACTGCAAAGACTTCAAGGGTATGCATTTCCTTCTTACATTTATACTTATTTTCCCCTAAATTGTATGTTCCTGCAAGTTCTGACAATTTTTGGGATTGATGTCTCTATGGTTGCCCTCTTTTTAGTTGGCATTTGATTCTTGTTGAGTTAGCCTTTGGTAAAACAAGAAGCCTCCTTCCTGCTTCCGAAGACCTGTTAAGCATGATACTTGTTCGCAATAACACCAGCTGGCATAGTGCAATAACAGCTTTTGAAGCTTTTTAACCTTTTCCCCTTTTGATAGTTGCTGCAGGGGGAGAGACTGAAAGGGGTGGGGGGATTTGAAATTGAACACCTCCGTATTAAGCTGTGGCTACCATTGAGGCAATGCCTCAGCCACTTAAGTTTGCAACCATGAATGACTAATTTCTCTGTTAATTTCTCTGTTTCAGCTTTCAGTTTCACAATCTGAGAGCAATCATTCCACAAGACCCACTAGAAGCAGTTCAGTAACGCGACCTTCTCTTTCTTCTTCATATAGTACCTATTCCTCAAACAGGGGCCCATCAATTCTTAATACAAGCTCAGCGTCTGTGTCATCTTATACTAGACATTCCTCACCCGTTACCCGCTCGCGACCTTCAACCCCATCTGCCCGCTCAACACCATCACGAGCCTCAACTCCTTCAAAAGTCCGTCCATCTCCCACCAGCTCTTATATTGACAAAAGTCGACCATCGCAAAGTTCAAGACCATCAACTCCAAGTTCTAGGCCACAAATCTCTGCAAACTTGAACTCAACAGCTGTTCGATCAAATTCTCGTCCATCAACTCCCACACGTCGGAATCCAATACCTTCTCTATCTTCAGCAGCAGCTGGAGCTTTGCCATCTGCTGGGCGCACTCTTTCAAATGGTCGCAGTGCAGCTCCAGCATCCCGACCAAGCTCCCCAGGTCCACGAGTCCGGCCCCCTCAACAGCCTGTTGTGCCCCCTGATTTTCCTCTTGACACGCCACCAAACCTTAGAACAACTTTGCCTGATAGGCCAGTCTCTGCTGGTAGGTCTAGGCCTGGTGTTTCTGTCAGTATGAAAGCAAACCAAGACACTACTAGCTCTGTAAATATGCCCAGAAGACATTCATCACCAATTGTCACAAGGGGAAGACTCACTGAACCCCCTGGAAGGACTCGTGTCCATTCCAATGGGCATGCATCTGACATACATGAGTCTCGGAAGACCTCACATGTCTCAGATTCAGCTATGCGGAAACCTGTAAAGTCTTCAACAACCACTGCAGATAGTGCAGGACTTGGGAGGACTATCTCAAAAAAATCGCTGGATATGGCTATTAGGCATATGGTATGCTTACCCTCTACTTGTTATTGAATGAAATTGTTAACTCCTAAGTGAAAATCTGCCTGTTGCAAATGTTAGCCATTTGATGTGTTCTAATACCTTTTCTTTCACTTGATCATGTGGTTAGCAATTTAAATGCAGCTCAGGTGTAGGAAGAGTGCCATTGAAGTAGAATATAATTCTTGGTTTCCACCACTAGCATCATTGCAGTCACACCCTCAACTTGGATATTTTTATAGTCTATTTTCATCGTGAATCACCATGATCCAAAAGTTTTAGCTAGTAATTATCAGGGTCTCAAGTATTAACTTGGTTTTTCTGAATAAGAGATTGGAGTTGTAATGACATGATCAGTGGTTGGAATTGGTTGTAATCTTTTACATAGAAGCTTATGCAGTAGTGAGAGGCTGCATCATGTTAGGTTACTAAAACAAGTGTTCCTACTTCCCTGGGATATATAAGGTCTATTATGCAGGATAATCCTAACACCATTTATAATCTCCAATGTAGGACATAAGAAATGGCACAGGGAGCATTCGTTCCCTTTCTGGCACCACTCTTTTTCCTCAGAGCATCCGATCTGCTACTACCAGAACCCAATCTCTTCGCTCCGTCAGTACTTCAGACTCTGTCAATAGTAATGGAAGCCCTGGTAGCTTGCAAAATGCAGACTTCTCTGAGAACGGAAATAGTATTAGCAGACCTGTAGAGAACGGAAGTAATTCCCTTGATGGAAGATACGCTGCCAAATTAAGTGAGGTGGACATCTATGAGAGTTCCCGTTATGATGCAATATTGCTAAAGGAGGACTTGAAGAATACAAACTGGCTGCATAGTATTGATGATAAATCCGATCCAGGATCCATCTTTGAGAATGGATTTGAGCCTCTGCCTGAACCTTTTGGCCTATTATAACATCCAAGAAGTGGGTTTTTGTTTTTCTAATTCTTCTTAATTCATATTTATTTTTTATTTTTATAATTTGTGCTCTTATAATTATTTGGTTACTATGAAAGAATGTAATCTGACAGCTTTTACCAACGAAAATGAAGAGTGAAGAAGGCAGTAGTGTTTCTGCAAAGGAGAAATCCATATAATTGGCCTTCTGTTAATCATCTGTGTGCCTAACTTCTTCTTGTGTTCCAGGCTATTTGGAGCCGCACAGAGCTAAAGGCAGCCATGAATTTGCTCGTTGACTTGTAGGGAAGATACTGTTATGACTGAAAAACAATTGAATGGATTTTAAACTTAAACAGGGTAACTGTCAACCAAAAGGGGTTAGGCTGGAAATCAACGTCATAGTCCTGGGGACAAAAGCGGATTATCAAAATATGTGTAAAACATGCAAGCCATGTCCTGCCTAACAAGGATCAGGCAGGAAACAGAAAATGATTAAGCTAACATGAAGCAGGTGGGAAATGGAATACAGGCTTAGTCAAAAGGGCCCTCCCATTTCATTTATTATTTATTTGGTAGTATATAATAATCTACTCAACTAACAATGGAGGAGGTGGTTATACACTGAATACCGAAACTTGTTTTTACGAACTTAAACCTTTGAGATTGCCATTCTCATAGCATCTTTTTTTGGAAGCAAGCATTGCCTTTTCCCACCAACTGAAGGAAGCTGCATTATTACACCAAAAAGGTGTAATTTGGTATGAAATTAAAGGAAAGTCTCAAGAATCCAATGCCAATTCCATATGCAATGCTATCAAGTCTAAAGGCCAAATCAAACAATTGATCAGAGTTGCACTTCTCTTTGGATTTTATCCGTTACCAAAGAGCTAGAAACTTTCACTTCTGCTCAGAGTTTAGTCTTCTTTTCCTTCCTCTTTCCACTTTGTCATAAAAATTACAGGAAATGAGAAGGGGAAAAAATAAAGAAAGAGAAAAAGGTAAGTCTTCAGCTGGCGACTTTATTCGAATATAAAAAGCAAACCAAATCTAAACCGGGTATTCCTCATTATCATATTAAGAATTAAACCCTTTCCTTTATGATTATGATTATTATTAGTATTATAATTAAACTTTGTGAACAACTTCACCTTCATGTGCTTCAATAATTAAGATTCTCTCTCACATACGACTTCTCTCTTCAACCATGTGACAGATAATATAAAAGCATTCTATCTTATTCAATTGAAAAATAAATTTGAAAGGAATTCGGGCTTTGCATCTTTCTTTTCCTTTGCGAAGAAACGAAAACCCTTTGGACATTTATTTTAAGCCTGATAGAGATGCCAGCCCAGCAGAGCAGGGAGAGCTACATATCACTTTCGCCAAGTGGAGGGGCACTTTGTCTTTCTGTGATTGTACTAAGGGCATCCAAAGCCAATCCTCTACCTAATATTGGCGAGAAATTCATGAATCAAAACCTACCAATCACTTTTCCATCAAAATGGGTAAGTATCAATTTCTTGTTTCCAGCAGCTGGCACAAAAAATAAGTTATGGGTTTGGCCCAACGGTTCATAATCATATGCCCCCCCTCCTTATGTGAGTTGGGATTGCCCCATAGCTGTAGGTTTTAAAATCAAAACCCATAGTCATCCCTGGTCGTGGAGATTATGAGAGATACAAGGCAAGAGGAGGATTACATTTAGAACTCATTGAATAAACCCCATCACTTAAAAAAGGGAATAAAGAAGACAATCTGCTTGATCCTTTCCATTTTCATAACATGATTAGTTGCAAAAGATTAGTGCTACTTCAAGCAAAGTATCTAAGTTAACTAAATCTTGGGGAGCTGGAAGCATTGGTGTCTTGGGACAGGAAAAACCTGACCCACGGCTGGATTCGGAGAAGTTTCTGCACTGATTAATGTACTTGAAATTTTGAAAAAGTTACCCAACCACCCAACAGGGCAGAGGAGGCTTCACAATGAAAAAAACGATTAGGAAGGATCATCATTACCATACCATATCTTTTCTGTCACATAATTCTCCTTGGTGGGTCTTCCTCCTCTCCCTCACTTTTGTTGTCATCTATTCATTATTCTTCGTGAAAAGAATAAAATTTACGTGGATATAAATATGATATAAATTTAATAATAAAAAAATAATGAGGTCAACCATGTCTCTATAATGTACTTTAAATTTTTTAAAATATTATATACTAAAACAATAATACGTTACACGTATAGAGGGAGAGAGTTCAATTTGACAAGTAGCAGTAAGACAAAAAAGAATTATAAACAACTAGTGTCAAACTCAATTAAATCGAGAAACAGGTGGTGGTGAACCATGAATGGGCAGAACAAGAATCAGTTACTGACTTTACACCCTGAGAGAGAGAAAAAAGGTGATGAGTGAGTCGAGTCAGTCCACCTGCTCTACTCTACTCAGGGTAACGTCGTAATTATGGGATGGACCAACAATTCCAATTTCGTTTCTGCTTTCTCCTTTCAAATTTTGTCAATTTGGGTTAGCTCTTGTTTGTGGGGTCAAACAAATTTCTGATTCCACCGGCTGGCTGGAATATTAAGACTTAAAAAAGGGACCAACGGGACGTGGAATCGTCGACTTCGAGATCTGCAATTCGGAGTTTAAGCCCCGACCCGACGTTAGCTTGACGAACAAGCTGCCTCGGCTGTCGGCTTCCTCCATAACCAACATAATCAAAACCAAACTGCTTTTTTCCTCGACTTAAACTTCTTTTTGTTTTGGTTTCTTTTTTTAGTGTTTCTTTTTGGAGAGTGTATTGGTGAAGAAATGCCGTTAAAGTTTAAGGAATCCAAGAATTGCCATTGCCATTTTAGCTTCTTCTCTTCTCCGTTTCTGAACCTCTTCCTTTGTCTCAGCTTCTTCCTCTCCCACTCATAGTGCTCCACCCAAGTCCCAAAGGTTTGTTTCTCCTCTCTCTCTCCTCTTCTATTTTCAATGTCTTCTTCTTCTTCTTCTTCTTTTGTGTGATGAATTCTGCAAGAGACTGCCATTGCTTCTGGAAAGATTCGAACCATAGATTCTAGTCAATTCTGATTTATTTTCCGCTTTACGTAATACTATGTTGTTTCCTTCCTTAGCTTTGCTCTTTTTTCTGTTTAGACTTTTGACTGTGGACTTGGAGGAGGCCGGTTTTAAGGATTCAACCATTTCACCAAACTCTTTAAATATTGCACTATCAACATTACGTTCTTCAACTTCAAATTCGGGAAAATTAACAACTTTGGCTCTGTTTTTATTATAAAAAATAGAAAAAAAATTGAACAATTCGGTGCATGCTAGAATGGCAGAATTCTACTTAAATTCTGGGCTTTCAGTATGATGAATTGGCAACCAACTTTTTGCGGTTGATAAATATATATGAATCCTAGCCGTTTGCCTACAGTAATCAAACGGTTGTTGTAGTATTTAATTTAATTGAAAATGTAATTAGGCTAAGGGTCAAATAAAGCAAACGCCTTGGGCAACAAAACCCTGATAAACTGCTGTCCTCTCCTTATTATCCATTCCATGGCTCCACACGCCAAAAGCTTGACTTCATAACCTCTGATTAATTAAAAAGTAAGAATCTTGTCATTGCTTATGCCTAGTTTTGAGCTGATAAGGGACTTTGACTAGCCAATGTCTTTTATCAATCTCATCTTCTATTCTTATTTGTTCTGTGTGTTGTGGTATGCCTGTTTTCGTAATACTTGTTTATGATTCTTCATATTTTTATTTGAAAGTCTTTATTTTTGTGAACATTATATTATATTTGTTCAATTGTTCTTGTATGCACAAGTATTGACTGCTTTTGAACTATGGTGGAGAGAGAATTCTTAAAGCTGAAAATGCCCTTCTTTTAAGATTTTGTGTTGCTAGCTTTGCTGCATTGCTTTCACTTTATTGAAAAAGGATTATGCTTTTGAACCCATTTTGGTGATGACTTTACTTCAGTTAATAGTGATACTTATCAAGTTTTTAGTCTTTGTTCCGATTGTATCATGAGACAACAAACTAAACCTCTTGGCAAATGACAGGTTCCCCATGCTATCACTATCTTTCTTTACTAATAGAAACTTTTTCAGCAAACGGGTGCTCATCATCCTTGTTTAGTGATTCATTGAAGCCACCACAAAAGCATATGATTCTTTCTGTGGGAGCAAAGTAATTAATTTTTTCTTTCAAACTTCAAAGGAGATGATCGTGGTTAAGAATATATTGTGGAAAGAATGTCAGTTAGATGACTCCAGCATCTTCCTGATTTCCAAATTTGACCCTTCCCCTTTTTCTTCTCTAATTATCTCTTTGGAAATTTCTACCCTTTTTTCTTTCATGGGAAAAAAACAAAAAGGGGAAAAAAACCATTGTTACTGTTAAGAAAGGGAAAAAGGGGAAAGCTTTATGCTGAATTAATCTCTGAACTGTTCGCTTAATGTAGTATTTGCTAGGTATTGTATTTACATGATTTGTTCAGGTAGGTACTTCTTTGTCTCGCCAACACTGCCTGTTACATAAAACTTTTTCGTCTCTGTTATTTTTTGTTTCCCTTTTTTTTCTCTGGTTTGAGGAAGGAAAATACCTGTTCTAAGTTTTTATTGTTTTGTCAGGGGAATAAAGACTGCTGAGATGAAGCTGCCCTCCTATTTTGCTGCATTTGCCTTCCTGTTTCTGTTTTGCATTCCTGAAACAGTTGCTGACCTAAACTCAGATGAGCAAGCCCTCCTACAATTTTCTGCCACTGTCCCTCATGGGCGGAAACTTAACTGGAGTCCGGCTAACCCGGTATGCACTTCATGGGTCGGCATCAACTGCACCAAGGATGGATCCCGTGTGCTTGCTGTCCACCTTCCTGGTGTTGGACTGTATGGTCCAATTCCAGCCAAGACACTTGGAAAGCTGGATGCTCTCATGACCCTCAGCCTCCGATCCAATCGCCTCAGTGGGAACCTTCCATCTGACATACTCTCCCTTCCCTCTCTTCGTTACTTATACCTTCAGCATAACAACTTTTCAGGTGACATTCCTTCCGCTCTCCCTCCAAGGCTGGATTTTCTTGATCTCTCCTTCAACTCCTTCACAGGCAACATTCCAACCACAATTCAAAATTTAACAAACCTGACTGGTTTAAGCCTTCAGAATAACTCCCTTACAGGCCTTATCCCCAATTTCAATCTTCCAAGGCTTAGGCTTTTGAATTTGAGCTACAACCATTTCAATGGGTCAGTACCATCTTCCCTCCAGAAGTTCCCTGCTTCTTCCTTTGTAGGAAATGATATATGTGGGCCTCCACTGAACCAGTGTATTACAATCACACCTTCGCCTTCCCCTTCCCCTTCCCCTTCCCCCACTCACTTGCCTCCACCAAAAGTACCAGAAAATCCAAGAGGGGGCTCCCATAAGAAATTAAGTACGGGTGTTATAATTGCCATAGCAGTTGGGGGTTCTGCACTGGTTTTTTTCATGTTGCTTATGCTAGTGCTTTGCTGTTTAAAGAGAAAGGATGGTCAAGGTACTGTTACATTAAAAGGTAAAGGTGGAAGGGGTGAGAAACCTAAGGAGGATTTTGGGAGTGGGGTGCAAGAGGCTGAGAAGAACAAGTTGGTCTTCTTTGAAGGTTGTTCATATAATTTCGATCTTGAGGATTTGTTGAGAGCTTCGGCTGAAGTGCTCGGAAAAGGGAGCTATGGTACAACCTATAAGGCTATCCTGGAGGAAGGAACAACAGTGGTTGTGAAGAGATTGAAAGAAGTAGTTGCAGGGAAAAGAGAATTTGAACAACAAATGGAAATTGTGGGAAGGCTTGGTCAGCACCCAAATCTTGTGCCTCTTCGTGCTTATTACTATTCCAAGGATGAGAAGCTGCTGGTTTATGACTACAAAGAAGCTGGCAGTTTTTCCTCGTTATTGCATGGTACATTTATTTGATCATGTTTTATTCCTTTTCATATTATTTTCATTATACATTACAATCATGTTTGAAGATCAATTACTAATGTAATTTATGGATAATTTACTACAAGTTTTAAACAACTTTAACCTCAGTACAGTAGATCAAACACAGATGTAGCTTATGCAGAAAGGAGAAATGCAGTTGTCTACTGCACAAATATTTTATGCTCTGACTAGAAATCTGAAGGATTATCCATTTTCATAGTCTTTTCTTCGTAATTTCATTACAGGAAGCAGGGAAAGTGGACGTATTCTGCCAGACTGGGATTCCAGGGTAAAGATTTCCCTGGGAGCAGCAAAGGGCATTGCCTATATCCATTCTTGTGGAGGTGGAAAATTCATCCATGGCAACATCAAATCCTCCAATGTCCTCCTCAACCAGGACTTGCATGGCTGCATTTCTGATTTTGGATTGACTTCTTTAATGAGTTTCCCAGCTGTTCCATCTAGAAGTGCAGGATACCGAGCTCCTGAAGTGATTGAAACTCGAAAATTTACTCAAAAGTCCGATGTCTACAGCTTTGGTGTACTTCTCCTAGAGATGCTGACAGGCAAAGCACCAGTCCAGTTATCAGGGCATGAAGATGTGGTCGACCTTCCAAGGTGGGTCCAATCTGTTGTTAGAGAGGAATGGACTTCTGAAGTGTTTGATGTAGAGCTGATGAAATATCAAAATGTTGAAGAAGAGCTGGTGCAGACGCTTCAGATAGCAATGACATGTGTGGCAAGGTTGCCAGACATGAGGCCTACAATGGAGGAAGTAACCAGGATGATGGAAGAAATTCGGCCATCTGATTCTGAAAACCGGCCCTCGTCAGAGGACAACAGGTCCAAGGGCTCAAATACTCAAACCCCATGATTACTGCAGCCATGTTGCCGATGTTACAAGTTCAGACTGCATGTTGTGAGGCCTCCATCCATGCGTTCAATCCATGTAATTCTTTCAGGATTTTAGCATAACAAGGATGTGTCGCAACCTTTTTTTCTCCTATCTTAATTAATGTCAACTCTGCGGAAGATTAGAAAAAAATGGCCCAAAACTGTAGAAAGTGTAAGAACAATCAGGGAAATAATCGCATCCATTCTGTATTTATAGAAAAATCATTAATTCTCACAATTAAAGCCAAGATGGTTTGTTACAAGCCATTAAATCCTCTTGGGTCAACTAACCCATCCAATATATTCCAAAATGGTGTGAATAAGAGCAACAAAGATGACTCTTATCCACAAGATAAAACAAAATATAAAATTAGTATTTTCCCTCTTGGCAGATACATTTATCAGTACAAAAACAAATGTAGTGGGCCCAATATAGGCCCATCTTTAATCTCTAGTTCATAAGTATACCAGGTATATTAAGAAAAAAAAGAAAAGAATAATAAATTAAAAATGCATCTAAGTTAAGACTCCGAGCTTTAAGTAGTGTTGTTAACCAGGTCAGCACCACTAACATATTTAGAAACAAATGATATTAGCCGGAATGGAGCACCAATCAGGGGAGCATCTGAGAGTGGCACAGCATTTTGTTCACTGTCAATAGGCTGGGACTCCAAATCTCGTACATCAGAATCATTGAGAGGAATCTGCACAATTTCTCCAGAGTCTTCACTATCAATTTTCCCATTGTGCATTGAAGCAGCTTCTAGGGAATCTAACTTTGGAGCCAACATAGAACCATTCTCAATCGGTTCAGGTATAGAATAAGACAAACTGGCAGTTTCATCAACTTTAGCAATCGGAACACTTCCCATGGCTGAAGAAAGTCCTGCTGCCATACTTTGTCGCTCAAGCTCAACATACAACTCATTCACCTGACACAAAGTTGATCAAATTCGCAACATGAAAAAGACTTTGTATATTGGCTTTAAAAGGAATAGTAGTAGTAAAAATTAATCAAAGTGCATTGCAGGAAAAGGCACCTTCTCAACAAGCTCTGCATTCTCTGTGATCAGTTTGCCAACCAGAGCACTTGCTGCTTCAATCTGAGAGTTCAGATCCTCATTCACAAAAGCTTGCTACATTAGATAAAACTAGTCAACTACATTGTTCTCTCTTCCTAAATTTCTTCAGAGACATAAACACGGTACATTATAACCTTTAATTGCTAAGTAGACCATAAGTACTTGTTTGTTCATTTATTTGAATATATCTGAATAACTTCAATACACCAAAATTGAGACCAACTTTTGGCCGATGAAAGCTCTCACAATAGCAAACAAACATGGAGGCAAATCCACTTATATCTCATGAATCCTCAATTATGGTGAAACTAGCAAAATTTGCTACAACCAGAAACAGAATAGCCAACACACTAGAAAAAAGGAAAGCTCAAAGTGAGGTTAAAGGAAGCAAACCTTATTAACTTCATCTGATGAGGGACCAGAGGTCAAGTTCCTCTCAAAATTTTGTTCATTTAACTGCAGGCCAGATACATTTTCTTTGAGCTGCTGATTTTCTTGTGAAAGCTTGCTCCTGGATTCTTCCAACTCAACCACCTGCCAAGCTTTGTTTTAATTTCCAGATCAGAACAAAAAGAAATGCACTGCAAAATTGTTAAGAGTTTGGTGCAGCCCAAAATTGATGATACTAACAATTAAAAATCAATTTATATCAAGAAAAATAGGGAATCAATCACACCATAGAGTCCAATAAACTGCTAGCAAAACTAGCCTTTAAAGTACAAGGATGAAAATGCTGTACCTGCATTTTTAGTCTCGTAATATCACGATTCAGGCTAGAAATTGCTTCTTTGGTGGAATTCTGTAAACAGAGAATATTTAAAATTAGAACAACAAACCTGATTGCTGCACCTGAGCATTTGGCTTATTGGTTGGTACATGATCCCCTTCTCTAAAGAGTAGGGTTCGAATTCCCCTTCCCTCAATTATAAAAAAAAAAAAACCCTGATTGCTATCATGTTTTAATGCTTCAGATGTAGATGGAAGATGAAAATGAATAAAAACTTCAATGGCAAACCAAAAAACTCCTGTTGTACAATAATCCTGAGAAAGATCCACAAAGTTCAGAACAATCCCAAAAAGGAAACCGCATACAAAAGGGCTTTGACACAGTCCAGAATTCAATTCAATCTCAGGTCCTTGCTCCCAAGAAATCACTATTTTCCCAAGAAAAAACATAAATAGTCAATGTAATTCTGAACACTCTCCAAATGAAATCATAGAAAGGGCCTTAACACAGTATAGACTCCAAGCAGATCACAGGCTCCTAATTCCAATCTTCCAATAAAATGCATTACTGATACACATGAAAAGAGTAAAAGTGACTACCTCTGTCAGAATCCAAGACTCTTTCTCTTTCTCTAGCTGTTTAATCTTTTCCTCCAAGTTTGCCTGCACAATATTATCCAACTTTTCTCAAGATCACAAGTAGGAAAGGCTACACAATTAGACAAGCAACACAAATACATATCCCAGAACGGATTTGGACCTGAAAAACACAGACACAAAACTCTAATCAAAACAACCAGAAAGCTATTGGGAGGCCAAATAGAAACTTTACCCCTTTCAGACCCAGAGCTGCTTTTTCCTCCAGTAACTGACTAATTTTTTCGTCCAAGCTGGCCTGCATGTTGCATGACAGTACGAAATTCATCCCAAAATTTCCCAAAATCCTTCAAATGACAATACTAAAGATACAAAGAGACAGACAGCTGCTTTACTAGTTCATATGTCATTAAAGGATATAGGCAAAAATGGGGAAAACAAAACATTGTAAGATGTTGTCCTTATGTAATATTTATCAAACTAAATTACCTTTTCTTGAAGCCAGAATTTTTTTTCAGTCTGTAATTCTACGATATTCATCTCTAAACCAGCCTGTAAATCATCTAGTTAGACATAGCAGTTTCCAATGGATAATAGAAATAAAGAACATTCAAATAAAAATCAGGAAAATATTAGGCCTTTTGTAATAATCTATCCCCACAAATATGTGTGAGAAAATATATATCAACTTTTACTATATTGTACCAAAAAATAGAGAAAACTTTAGTATGTTACCACTTTCTGCATATTTGATTCATTTTCATATTGCAATTGGCGGATTGTCTCCTCTAAGGAAGCCTGTAAGAAGACAGAGGGTTACTTTGTGCTTCAACAAAAGAGAGAGAGAGAGAGAGAGAGAGAGAGAGAGAGAGAAGTTTAAACTACAACAGGAATGTTGTATGACTACTTGCAGAGAGAAAAAGCTAAAGCCATCCTTTATGCATGAAAAAGCTCACAGAATATTAGCTGTTAGCCCCTACATTACCTCTTTCCGTAGCTGTGAATCATTTCCATACTGTAATTTCAGGATTGTCTCTTCTAAGGAAACCTATAAGAAGAAAATGAGCCACTCATGCTTCGCAAAATAAACCAAAACAAGGAAAATGTTGTAACATGACTAAACTGGAAAACAGATTTTTCTAAGAAAAAAGATCTGAATACAATTTCAGGAAACATTTTTCTGTTGATAACCACAATTAAGCTTGTACCAAATTACCTCTTTCTTTAAGTGTGAATCAAACTCATTTCTTAACTGCTTGATTGCCTCTTCTAAGGTAGCCTGTTTAACACAACCGCTTAAGCTAATCAATTAAATACTATAAGAAAAGGACAGGAACTTTCATAAAATGAGAACAGGAAAAAAGCAAACATTTTCTTGCTTAAACAAAATTTAACAAGATAATTTGTTTATTTCCGCCAATGATAACATCAATTTAACCTCTTTCTGTACGTGTGATTCATTTTCATTTTGTAAGCGTTTGATTGTCTCTTGCAAAGTAGCCTGTAGAAATAAAACAAGTTATGCTGAGGTTAGTCGTACCAATAAAAAATCCAAGGCAAATAAATAAATGAAATATGCAGATATAGTTCAAGTTGATATAATATCTTGTCTATTTCCACGACCAGATGAATCTATATTACCTCTTTCTGTACATGCGATTCATTCTCTTTTTGTAATTCTCTAATCATCTCTTCCACAGTGTTCTGAAAAAAAGCCATAAGGTTAATGCATGAACAATAAATAGTAATGGAGACAGCGAATTACATTGAAAATTCAGAAGAGAGGACAAGAAATGACACGATAAAATACTTTAGCTCCATTTGCTCCACCTTTATGTTTCTCGTTTTACCATGGATTAAACATCGGGTTTTATAAGTAGCAGTAAGTGACTAAAAGAAATCAAAATTTCACAACGAGAATGCAAAGGAATTTTGAGGATCCTTGCGATTGTAACATGGAACACAAACAATTTCCTATTATTCTTTAGCATTACCCTACGCTGTAGGACCTAATATATCTAAACATTAGAACTCCTAAAGAAATCTAAAACACTTTCAAGTTTTAAGGGAGAGTTGTGGATATAAAACAAGTTTATCTTATGGCCGTCTATCATGATTCGTGCATTTGCGTTATTAATGTCACAATATAATCGATGTTCTTAAAATAGAGATAAATCAAAGGATATTATCATACATACTAGAAAAGATGAATGTCTACAAACAATTTACAACAATTCCATATACAATTTGAGTTATCATTTTTCAATTCATAATAAAAAGAAAAGGAATTGCGAATAATCAAAGGCAAAGCCATTAACCAAACCAGAATAAACTTAAGAACACTAGCGAATCAGTCACTTACGGCAAGAGAGCCATTAGGCTGATGCGTATCCAGATCCACCTCAACATTACCGGGGACGTCGCCGTTCTGGCAATTGCCGACATGATTATTCTGATCTACATCTTCTTCTGTGGTTTTGGTCTGCTTGTTTTTCTTTTTGTTTTTTCTCTTCTTCTTCTTCTCATCCTCCATTTTCTTTTAGATTCGACCGCTTACACTTGCAGGTTCGATCCACCGAAGAATAAATTTTAAATTTATTTAAAAAAAAACAATTTACTACGACTCTATTAGTATGTTTTATTTTACCAAAGGAGGAATTCCAAGAGGAAGACTGCTTGAGGAATTGATTTTGTCTTTAGGGCTTTTGTTCGATCGCTTTCCCTCTTTACCCTGTCTCTTTGTCAACTTACTGATTATATACAAAACTTAATTAAATTAATACTGTATTTAGCAAATCTGGCGGTTGTGATCGCTCGCTCAATAAACTAAAGGCTCGTTTGGTAGCCCTGATGGTATCTTGTTTGGTTTATTTTTTAATCAAGAATAATTATTTTTAAAAAATGATAATTTCTTAAAAAATACGAAATAACCAATACCAACTCCTCTCGATATCAACCATTCGACCTCTTGTGAAATATAGGCAAAATTTTTTTAGATAAAAACTCCTTTACTTGTTATCCGAAAAGTTCTTTTTCTCATTTTCGTTTTCTTATTCCTCTCCTTTTCTCATCTTCCCCTCACCCTTCTTTCTCTAAGCAAGCTCCGTCTTCCTCCGCTAACGCCGTCAAATCTTATTTTTTATTTTCCTTTCACCTACGTCGTGAGAGGAGAAAAACTTCAGTAGTCAGATTTGGTCAAGAACAAAGAAAAGAAAGCCAAAAAAAAAATTAAAATAAAAAATTATTGATATTATAAATAATATTTTTTAGTAATGAGGAGAAGAGAGATTTAAATTTATTCTTTAAGTAAAAAGATTATACACCATGATAGAAATGTTTAAATATAAATTATAAATAATATTTAATAATAATTAAGTAATATTATAAATAATTAATTAGTAATTAATCTTTTAATTAAAAAAGAAAATTAAAATATTAAAAAAGGAAAAATAAAAATAGAAAAAAAAATCGTATCATTTTACTACTAAATCTTAACATTTGAATATTAAATTGTTAAATTATAATTTAATGATAACACCTTGTTAAAAGATAATGAATTTCAAAAATCTCAAAATTTTTATTAAATTATAATAAAACATATATTTATCATTTTATCACTTTTTTTTATTATTTCAAAATAATTTTTCCTAATCAAATATTGAAATAATATGCAATGACAATTTCATTCAATGAATTAAATTATATAATAATTATTTTATCATATTTTCACAAAATAACTATTCTATTTTTTTCTCCTATTTCATAAACCAATTCCTTCTTTTACTTTTTACAGTTTAATTTGATGTTAAAACCTAGTGGCCTGTCCAGTCCAAAGGGTCATTAAACCAGAGAGATATTGGATCAATCAAAAACTTTAGATGGGTCAAACAGAGAATTAAATCGATTTTTAACATTTATTTCATTATTTAAGTGTATGTTTTTGTTAAATATTGACAGCATCTAATATTTATTTAATACAAGAATTGTATTTTTAATATAATACTACCATCCCTTAATTAGAACGACAAGTTGAAGCGAGACACTTCGCCGATTGTATTTTATTTGTTTTACTTCAAAAAGAGATGGGTCTTTTATAATAGGAACTTGTCATTGTGCTTGCACGTTGGCTATTGGCCGTTCTTTCTCTTGTCACCATGGCTATATAGCATTTTGTGTTAAATCAAATTTTAAATTTTATCATATAATTAAAGTGAAATGATGTCATCTTTCATCTCTTTTCCACGTGAAATTATACTCACCAATCACTTAAATATCTTTTTCTTAGAATGCACCAGATCCAATTTTATTCTTTCAAATCAACTTATTGAGGAAGAATTTGCAAACTAATAAAACTCAGCAAGCAATCTAATCAAATCCCTCAAAATTCCTTTCAAGATCATCGGATCGATTTAATCAGTGATTTATCTTGTTCGAAATAAATTATTTGTATGATTGATAATAAGTTGGTCAAGAACCGATCAACTTTTCAAATAAATTGAATTTGATTAAGTTTAAAATTTTTTGCAAAGATGAGATTTGAATGATTGACCTCTTGATGTCTTATATCATGTCAAACCCATTAATATTTTTATTAATGCCTTAACATTATGTATTTATCACATTTTATACTTATTCAGTAATAAATTTTTTTTTGTTTAAATTAGATTGATCAATTAAATTGATTCGATTGCAAATTGAGACCCTTTGGCACAACTATTAAAACCATTAAATCAATGGAATGCCACACAAAATTACACATTCAAGGGTAATTCAATTCACTTGTTGGTTAAGAGAAACTGATGAAATGAAAAATGGTAACAATTGATTCTGCAATCACTGTCAAAAGCGTTTTATCTCATTAGGAACTTACGGGTGGCCTAAAAACCATTGCTTTGGAAAAAGGGCAAATGCTTGGGTTTAAGAGCATAGTTCGACATGAAAGAGAAAGGAAGGAAGAGTAGCATTTTTCAACTTTTCAAAAGGTTAACTTTTTTAAGAGTTAGCTATGGCTTAATTGTCATTTTCTTCGTAATACACCACTAAAAGCGAAATATATCTATTTCAAATTGTCACATATTCAACTTTAGTAAAAGATAAAACAGATTTTAAGCATATAAATATGTGTCTTCCTTTTTCTAATAGATATATATTTTGAAAATAATTGATATCAAAATAAATTCAGATCTTCACTACTGTAAGATTCTCAAAAATATATAAAAGTCGAGATAAACTCGGACTGGTATAATCTCTCTTCTATAAATAAAGAAGTATGGTTTTAAATTGAAAGCATGACCCTCTCTTACCTTTCCCTTTTGTGTCTATTCTAAAAGCATGTGGTATGATTTGATTAAATAGTTAAAGAGACGAACCAACTTAATAAAAGGAAAGTTGAAAATTTTAATTATTACTTGAGATATAGAATTTTATATATTGTTTGTATTTTAATGGTTTTTTTATATCTTTAATGTACATAATATCAACTTGTTGACTTGTAAATAGTGACTTGGCACTACATATAAAAATTAAGGTCTGTACATATTTTTCAATATAGTGTGAATAATACACAAAAGACTATTCAGTGCTTCCCTTCTAGATATTTTCTCCATTCTTTATTGAATTTCACATGGTATCAGAGCCTTGCTCGATCCACGAAGCTTTCTGATTTTCCTACCAATATATTTTGTCAACCATTTTCAGATTATCAAATTTTTCTTCATTGATTTCTTAGTCTTCCTTTTATTGTCCTCTTAAAATCTTCGTTTTTTCGTCCTTCCTCTGTTCTTCCATGGCTGGAACTACAAGCTTAAGAACTTTTTTTCCTCTTTCTGAGGACCCTCAATCTCTTTACTTTCTTCATCATTCAAATCACCATGGGTTAGTGGTGATCAATTCCAAACTTACCTCCATTAATTATGTCTCTTGGAGTCGTCAATTTATGTTAGCCCTTTCCATTTAGAATAAGGTTGGGTTTGTGGATGGAATGATTAAAGATCCTAAAATTACTGATGAGATTTATGTTTTTTGGCTGCATTGCAATAATTTGATCGTTGCATGGCTCATCGAAGTGATCTCTCCATTGATCATTTCCATCATTTTCTACATGAACTTAACATGCCAGATCTAGGAAACTCTTAAAAAGAGGTTTTCTAAGCCCGATGATGCTTGGATTTGTCATTTTTAATTTACTCTATCCAACCTGAATCAAGGGATGAAAGGTATTGATGCTTATTTTATTAAGTGAAATGTAATATGAGAAGAACTAAGAATTTGTAGACTTTTGCCTAGTCGTGAATGTGGTTCTTGTAACAAAAAGTGCTTTAAAAATATATAGATCAGTATGAGAAAGATATAATGTTTAAATTTCTCATGGTCTTAATGAATCCTTTGCTGCGTTGAGGTCTCAATTATTGTTAATAAAACTTTTCTCCACTTTAGACAAGGCTTATAATCTTGTTCTAAGGGAAGAAAGTCAACGATCTATATCTATCAATCAAGTATTTCATAAAGCTTTTACTATGACCACTATTACTTATGGTAGAAGAAAAGAAAAACCTAATGTCATTTGTAGTCATTGTAGTAAATCTGGGTACATAAAGGAAGAATGTTATAAGCTGGTAGCTAGGTTTTTCCCTTAATTTTAAGTTTATAAAAGGCAAGGGAAATCCCAAAACTTCAAGAGCTGCTTCTCATGTTAACAACTCTACAGTGAGGATATTACAGACTTTTTGTCTAACATTTCCCTTACCAAGAATCAAATTCAAAGGCTCATGGTATTACTCAGTAATCAAGGAACAGATTTGGTTAATAATCCACCCTTAAACACCAACTTTTAGATAAATTTTCCTCGGCATACTCCTCTCATTGTGAACTTTACTATGGCAAGTATGATTCTAATCTCAAACTTTTCATCAATACAACATTTACCTTTTGCTAAGCTTATTGTAAATTTAACCATCATACCTAGATTGTAGATTCTAGTGCAACAGATCGTATTGCATTTTCTTTAACGTCATTCATATTATCCAAGCCTATTTAAAACATCTATATTGAAATGCCTAAAGATATTAAAGCCACAGTAACTCATATAGGAACTATTAACATATCACCACTTATCATTCTGCATAATGTGTTGTCTGTGCCTGAGTTTAGATTCAATTTAATTTCAATGAGTGGTTTTACAAAGTCCAAAATAGATCATTTGACATTTACTGATAATGGTTGTGTAATTCAAGACACAAGTACTTTGAGAATGACTGGTCTTACTAAGGTACAAGCAGGCTTATATATATTGCAAATCAAGTTTCCCACCACTCAAGTTGAGAGTTATACCTTTGGAGATTTTGTTTTCAAATTACCTCATTAGAAGATTTCTAAATATGTATCCAAGAATTTTGTTCCTAACAGTTCAAATGTTTTTAGTGTCAGTTGTAACATATTTTCTAGAAATTTTGATGTTTGGCATTTTTGTTTAAAACATACTTTTTCAAACAAATTATATGTTATTCAACAGTTTTATTTTAATGTAAGTACTTCCAACTACACAATTTGTGAAATTCGCCCACTTGCTAAACAAAAAAGGCTTAAGTTTCCTTTACATGAAAAATCTACTATTTCTTGTTTTGAGTTGGTCCACATGGACATTTGGGGTCTAGATTTTGTTATTACAATCCAAGGTTATCAATATTACCTTACCATCGTAGATGATTATAGCAAATTCACCTAAACTTTTCTTATGAAAAATAAATTTGAAGTTTCTCACATTGTACCAAGTTCTTACAACATAGTTAAAACACAATTTAATCATAAAATTAAACAAATAAGATTTGAAAATGGCTTTGAGTTTAATCTTTTAGGATTCTTTTCTTCAAAGGGCATAATTCATCATTTTTCATGTGTGAATACACCCTAACAAAATGGGGTTGTAGAGAGGAAATATCAACATTTGCTAAATGTTGTAAGAGCTTAAATGTTTCAAGTTTCACTGCCTATGCATTTTAAGGGTGATTTGATTTTAGTTGCATCATATTTAATAAACAGAACACGTTCTCCAATTATTAAGAGCGAAACCTCATATGAAATGTTGCTTAACAAATTGCCTTCATATAAGCATTTAAGAGTATTTGGTTCTCTGTGTTTTGCATGTACTTTAAAAAGAAATACAAAGAAGTTTGATACTAGCGCTAGGAAGTGTGTTGTCATTGCGCATCCTATTAGAGTTAAAGGATATAAGCTGTATGATTGAATACACATAAGATCTTCAACTCCAGGAATGTTGTGTTTTATAAACATGTTTTTTTTTTTTGCAAATAAGAACCTTCAATTTGAATCTAATTTCTTTGATAGAATCACTTTGCCTACTCATAATTTAATTGATAATTTTAACAATGTTTCATTATTTTCTCCATATATTTTAATTCTGCACCTTCATACTTTTATAACCCATTTCCTATTATTGCCATTCACCTTACTTCACTTACATCTCCTGCCAACTGTAATTCAAATGATAATAATTTCATTTCCACAACTGATATCACATTTGTCAATAGTCATTCACATGGAGGTAATGTTGATGAAAATCTATCTAATTCCCCACAAAATATCAATCCTTCATTTGAACTTAGAAAAAGCATAAAAACTAGGCAAAAACCTAAATACCTTAAGATATATCACTGTGATTTGCCTAGTTCATCACATAATGTTTGTCTTTATCCTATTACTAACCACGTTTCTTGTAAAAGGCTTTCTTTTTCTTTTAAAGCTTTTACAACAGTTTTTAACCAAGTTTCTAAACTATATAGCTATTAGCAAGCTATTCTATATAATCATTGGAGAAATGCCATGAAATCTAAAATTGAGGCATTGGAAGAAAATAAAACTTGGTTTGTAGTTCCTCTACTTGATGATGCTCATACAATGGGATGCAAATGAGTATATAAGATCAAACTACACTTGGATGGGACTGTTGAAAAATGTAAGACAAGATTAGTTGCAAAAAGTTACAGCCAAGTGGAGAGTTTTGATTACATTGAAACCTTCAGCCCTGTAGCCAAACAAATGACAGTAAGGACATTCTTTACCTTAGCAGTAGCCAAGACTTAGACACTTTGTCAACTGCACATAAACAATGCCTTTTTAAATAAGGAAGTAGAAGAAATAGTCTATATGGATCTATCACAAGGCTATGAAGTGAAAGGTAATCATCCAACAAGTTGCAAATTGGTGTGAGTTGAACAAATCACCATATGGCCTGAAGCAAGCCTCAAGACAATGGAACTCTAAATTCACAGAATCTTTAGTTTTGGCTTCCAACAATTAAAAAGTGACTATTTTGTATTTATCAAAAATATTGATACTAGTGCTTTCATTGCCTTAATATTTTATGTAGACAACATCATTATTGGTAACACATCAATGGAGGCCATAGAGACTGTCAAAAAATACCTAAAGACAAAATTCAAACTAAAAGATCTAGGAACATCGAGATATTTCTTAGGCTTGAAAGTTTCAAGATCTTTTAAAGGTATTTTTCTTTGTCAACCCAAATACATATTGAATTTGATTCATGAGTGTGGTTTTTTTGCTACCAAACCAATCACCACTATAATAGTAAGTTAACTAGAGATAAAGATGCAAAGCTTCTACCAGATGCGACAACAAACAAAAAATTAGTCGGAAGGCTCTTTACTTAACCTTTACTAGACTTGACGTATCTTTTGTTGTGCAATGTCTAGACCTGTCAAAATGGGTCTAACCCATTAGGTCTACCCATTTTTTATTGAAAATGGGGTGAGTTGGGCTTGAAAATTCAGCTCATATTAAAACTAGGCCTAAATAGACTAGCTTATCTGATCAGTGATTGTCCTAGATTGGGATAGGCTAGCCCTGTGGGCCAAAAGAAAAAAAATTAATAGTTTTAATAAATTTAATAATTCTATATATTTAGCTATATAAATTAATAATTTAGTTATTAATGAAATTACTTATTTTATATATTTTAATATCTTTAATCTTTACTTATCAAATTAATAATTTTAGTTAAGATTATAACTCAGTATCTTTTTTTCTTTTATGACAATGAATATTAGATGATAAATTGATAATAATTTAGACTTTAAGACATCATTGTTGTCCAAATAAAATTCAAATGTTTTGCTTGAGGATGAAAAATGAGGAGGACAAAATGAGTCTTGAAGTTTGTGTTTATTTAGTTATATACTTATGTTTATGGGATGGTAATTTGTGTAAAAGATTGAAACTTTATTTATGTTTGATGTAATTTATTTACTTATTTATATTTGGTGTAATTTAATTGTTTGTAACATATTTTTATCATTCAATTTATGGATTACAGCATGGAGCAATTTTATTGATAAGGAGTTATTATGTAGAATTATAAAAATGGTTTTTTTTTTTAAAGAAAAAAGAAGTGGGTTGGCCCAATCCAACTTATGGGCTAGTAAAAAGATGAGCTGGGATGGGGTTTCGATGGTTCATGTAAACAATGGGTTGGCTTGGCCCAACTCATAGTTTCTCAACCCATTGGGCCTGGTTGGGCAAGGGCAACCCATATTGATAGCTTTAAATGTCCTTCTCAATTCATGGATAAGCCTCAAGTCACACATCTATAAGCTACTTATAAAGTTCTAAGATATATAAAATTAGCTCCACGTGAAAGCATTTTACTGTTAACAAACTTTAATCTATAGCTTTAAGTTTACACAAATAATGATTGGGCTGGATGTAAAGATACTAAGAGATCCATATTTGGCTTTGGAATATTTCTTAGAGATTCTCTAATAAGCTGGAAGTCTAAGAAACAATCCATTATAGCTCGCAACTCCACAGAAGCAGAATACCATGGAATGACTTTAGCCTATTGTGAGGTACTATGGCTTCTCTATCTATTGTATGATTTTGGCATTAGTCACAAAAATTCAGTAGTTATGTATTGTGATAATCAATCAATTATATATGTATGCAGAAATTTTACTTTTCATAAAAGTACTAAGCATATTGAGATTGATTATTATTTTATACAAAATAAAGTACAAGATGGAACTATCAATCCATAGCACATTGGTACTAAAGAACAAATTGCTGATTTGTTCACAAAAGCATTACATCCATCTCAATTTCAATTTTTAAAGAACAAGTTGAGCATACAAGATATCCATGCACCACTTGAGAGGGTAATAGAGATATAGAATTTTATACATAATTTATATTCTAATGTTTTTCTTTATATCGTTAATATACAAAACATTGACTTGTTGACTTATAAAGTAATGAATTGACACTACATATAAAAATTAAAATATGAATAAACTTATCAATATAATGTGAATAATATACAAAAGATGATTTGACTTTTTCCTTTCAGGTATTTTCTCTATTCTTTAGCTTCTGTCTTCATCGAATTTTACAATTATAAATTTTTTTAATAAACTATCAAATAATAATTTTAATATATAGTTTATAACATGTTTAAAAGAAAGCACTAATGGAGCTTCCAGGTTTGACCACGTGCAAGGACAAAAGAAGGAGAAAAAATGTTGAGGTAAAGAGAGAGAAAGAGAGGGAGTGCAAAGAGGTCAGAGTTTACCACGTGGAGAGCAGACAAAGAGACAGAGAAAAGGGAGGGGTGCAAAAAGGCCCGTGTGTTGCATACGGGTCATACTCTAGTTCAAATAAAAGGAAAAAACTTTTTTTCATGTTCCAAATTCGATAATTTCACTGTTGTAATCCAAATATATAAAAAACAAGAAAAAACAAAAAGTTGTACAGTTGTGCAACACGAGGATAAAGTATTTGGTCCCTTCATTGGTAACAGAGGCAACAACGAAGAATTGTTAATTTATTAATCAAACGTTTACAAATTGACGTAACCACCCCGTTCACAGCGGTTAACATTTCCCAATTTGTGGGCATATAAGTAATTTGGAAGTTAAAGGCAGAGATCAAACGTTCACGGCATAGGTCGGTCGACGCTTGACTCTCTGTTGTTTGTTGGTACTTGGGTTTTTCGCCCATCGTCTGTTGATTTTTCAGAAATTTCAGTGTTCAATAAATCATAAAACCTTTTCTAATTCTCCCAAATTTTAAGCTCTCTGGTCTGGGTTTTTTAATTTCTGGTCGTAATTAGAGTCTTTCAACAGCCAATGAAGCATCAATTAAGGCGCATCTAATCGTGGATTACGCGCTTAATTTTTTCCTGGTAAATTAACTTATGCTTTGTTCATTCTTGTATGAGTTAATTGACGGTGTGCTTTACATTCCTAATTTGCTTTCGCTATCACTCTAAAGTCATTTATGGAGGACTTTCTTTTTTTTTTTCCTTTCTTTTTGCTGCTTTTTTTTTCTTTCTGGCTGATGTGTATAGAGGACTTGCAGATTACTCGTTTTATGTTTTTGTTAAAAGCAAAAGGCTTGGTTCAAAGAATTAAAGCTTAATAATTTGATAAGTTAAGTAAAAAAGCCATGTCTGAATGCCAGTATGTTGTCGGAATTGTTGTTCCATTTCGACTATTTGCTCAACCCAATAGGATTTTCATTTTTGGATATTTTCTTTTGTTTTATGGCAAAGTTTTGAGAAAGCAAGCAGGAGGAGATGGTTTTTAATGTTCATAATTTCTGGGCTCGCAAAACAGGATCTACTGGAACTTTCTAAATCTAAAGGTGAACTTGTATTAGTTTTTTGGTTAGAAAAAGCTGGCAGCGCTTAAGTCTGGAGAGACTTTTCCTTTCTTCTTCCAGTGGTTTCATCAACGGATTAACAAAAGCAGTGGGGTTTTGGACTTTGATGGATTGTTGAAGTTGATATCCAAAATATTTCCTTCTTTAGGATCATATTACTATTGAATCGAAACAGTGCTAGATGGACGGTTAGATTTCATTTGTAGTTACTTTGGTTCAGAATTTATTTAAATAAATCCTTTAGAATTTTATGAAAGGACTGTTCACGAGGCAAAACTAGAGCTACTATGCCTTTTGAAGTTTATTTAAGGTATTGAAGTAGAAGGATTTTATTTAACCGCTTTAATGATTGGTTGCTGTAAATGAAGTGATAGATTAAATTGTTTTTTTCCATGGGCTTAGTCTGAGATTTCTGGACTTTGATCCCTTTCCAACCTTCAGGGTGCTGATACATTGCTACAACAGGAACTTTGGCAATTTAGAAAATATGGGACAGTGCTTCACTAAGGTAAGTGCTTTGAGCTTGTTCAGTTACTTTATAGCACATGTTGTTACTTCCTTTAACATCTCTTTCCTTCTTTCTTGCCTAAGAGCTATTATTATTGTTATTGTTCCTTCGCTTTCTTGCATTTATTAGATTAGTTCTTTTGCTATCAGTGAATAAAATTTGATAATTTTATTAACTGTACTACAAGAAGAACATGAAATTTAATCTTTTAAATCACTTAATGTATCAGATGAGAGAATTTTGTTTGCCAAAATGTAATGAATCTTGGGTGAAGGTCGAAATTTACCCCTCTACTTGGGGTGATAGATCAAAGTTACCGTCCAGCTTTGAAGGGTGCAATTTATCACCGCGCATTTTAATTTGATTAAAAAAATGCTCAAAAGTTAGAATATTCCATGGAATGCTTTTCCATATTCTCATATAATATCTTTTTACTGTTAACTTTTGACTTGTTGTGAATCAAATTAAAAAAATATAGTGGTAGAATTGCACCTGTTCAAAAATAAATGATAAATTTGATCTAGGACCTAAGTAGAGTGGTAAATATGGATCTTCTACCATGAATCTTTAATTAAAGAAACTAAAAAAACTCTGAAATGTTTTAAAATTAAAATTTGTTAAATTTTTACTTCCATGACATTGGGCGTGTTAGTTGGTTTCAGTTAAAGGAGCAATGAAGGACTGAGGACTAGTCCAGAGCTTTAAGAAAACTAAAAATGCAAGAAACAACCCTGAGAAGCAGAATAGTGGAGGTCCTTCTGTTTCTCGGAAACCGAATCAATTTATGTTCTCATGTCGCTATTGCATTTTGTTCCTTTATGTGTTATATTGTTGCAATTTGTTCATGTTTGTAACAGACCATGAATTGAATTTTTTTTTTTTTTCAATTTTGTTTTGTTCAGTTGTTTAGTATATCAATATATTTCGTAGGTTGTCCTATGGGAACCTTTTTATGCTCCTTTCTTTTTCATAGCTTTTTGAGAATAAATTTTTGTCTTTGTCTGATTGAAGGCATGATTCATTACATCATTATCCATATTATTTCAATGTAGTCTTGGAGGGTAATTTTATCTAATGGTGTATCCATTTTGCTTTGTCATGTAGAAGAGAGAGGGGAAATAGAAGGAAATATAGATCAAAGTGAAAATAGAGGGGAAAGGAAAAGAAACAGAAGAACATAGGGGAAAATAGAGGAAATTTGGGAAGGAAGTGATTGAACCAGAGGAAATCTCAGTAATCAATATTCAAAATTTCAATAAGAAAGAAAACCCAATTTAATGCTATTAATATAAATGTAAAATACCAAATAATCCTGAAATCTGCTGAATTCTAGAGACTACGAAAACACCTGTAAAAATACAAAAAAAAAAAGTAATTTAACAAGTCCTTAATAAGTTTGATATTTCAATCTGCTTCTTTTTTTCCCGCATATAAGTTATTTATGATGTTTCAGTCCTACAAGTACTTAAGCTGCTTCATTTTTTTGGTTGCTTTGAATTCTTATGAATTATTGGAATTTTAAGCATTGAGATTTGAGTTATTGGAGTTGATTTTTCCCTCTTGGTCTCTTATTTCTTTCCCTTTTCTTGAATCAGAATTTTCTTCATATTTTCTCTTCGTGTTCTACATTGATTTGGTTTTGGATTTTGAAAAAAAAAAAACTGAATCAAAATATTTGTTTTTTTTTAATTTAAAAACTGAAACAAAATGGAATAAGTTAAACAACCGAACCAAATTTTCATGTTTCAGATGCTTGTTTTGACCTTTTAAAATATGTTTTTAAATTTGCAACGATTTTATTTGGGTTTCTACTTGGAATTTTATTAATAAAAAACAATTTACATTTATTTATAGAAAAGAAAATAAGAATTTAAATTGGTGACAACTCTCACTTCAGTTTGGTTTGGTCAAATTCAAGTTTTAATTCCAAACTAAAAAAGGGAAGGTGCCAAGCTGAACCAAACAGAAACAAAGCTCATGATTCAATTTTGGTTTTCTAGTTTTCTTTCCCTTTATAAATTTTTTGTGCTCTCTTGATAGGATTTGCTAGTTAATGTTTTAAAAGAGGAAAGTGTGGCAAGGTGTTTTACCTCTTGAGAGGTGAGGCTTAAGCCTCGGAGTATTGAGGCATGACATGAGCCTTTTAAAAGTAATTCTTTTGATAAAAAAATTAAGCTAATTAGTGAAATATATTAATAATTTAAAATACTAAATAAATTTGAATGAAAATTCCATAAAAGTTATTCTGGATATCTATTATAAATATCAACGACAACAGTTTGATGTAGCTAAAAATGCAATTACACAAAAACACATTGCAATTATCTAGTATGCATAGTATTCCTCACCTAAGTAGAGATACTGATGAAAAGGGGGAAGAGTAAATAAAGAACACATGGATCATTATGGTGGGTGGCCATTGTTATTACTACTATGTATTATAAAAAGCTATGTGAAAGGGTAAAAGTCTCACCAGTCATGTCAAACTAATAGAAAACATATTAGTAAATTGTAAGGGTGCCGAAAGTCTTACCATTTACCAAGCAGTTACTAGTCGACAACTCTTATACCTTATAGAATGTGCCTCAATATACTCCTGTCTTGCCTTGGGGAATGGGGTGCACTCTGAGAACACCAGTCAGAACACTATGATGAGTTAAATAGTAGTGGTTTTAATAATGTCGTTTTCTTTTAACTAACAAAGATCACAATTTAGTCTATTCAAATTTTTTTTCCAAGACTTTTTGCAAAACCCTGCATTGATGTTCATTTTTGCCTTGTTAAAGCTGTATTAAGAGAATTCATGATGCCTGTGATGCTTGTAGGCTCAGTCTGATCAAGCTGATTCAGACCAGCATGTTGAGTTTGTTGGTGGGAATGTACACCCTGTTACCTCCAAAGAGGATTGGGATCAGAAGTTGTCCGAAGCGAAGAGGGATGGCAAGATTGTAAGTTTTTTATCACTTTCTACTCAGTCAAGATAACATTTTAGTAGAAACTCTGGTACAGGATTCTTGCCATCATTTCTCAAACTTCCCTTTGTGTTATGAGTGAAGTTATTTATCTTTTGATTACATCTTACTTTCTATACCCTTTGGAGGTAAATACCTAGCTGTTCTGTTATGATCTCACACATGAAAATTCTATATGTGATTAGCTATATCTATGATGTTAGATTGTTCATCATGAAAGTCTCATCAACAATAACTAAATCTTGGTTAGGGAAAAGCCTTTTAATATTTTTATTTGAGATAATGTCAATAATTGGAAAAATGATTTGACAGGAAGATACAATTTTCTATGATTTTATTTTATTCTGGCTATCTTATATTGAGTTTCAAGTTGGATGAGGCCCAGCAAAAGTCTGGTTTACTCTGTAATTTGACTGCACATTTTTCAAATATTTTTGGTTTACATTGATGAGGTGGCTTCATAAGCATGAAAATATCATTACGAGTCTTTTTTTTTTATCCTGCAGCTTTATGGCTTCCTTTTTCCTTTCATTTGCTTGTGCCTGGAAAGACAACTTGCTCTTAGTTCACTCATCTGTGTAATATGCAACATGTTTACTTGAGAATTTGTGATTTATCTAATGTTTGAAGCCCAATGATTTATCAGGTAATTGCAAACTTCAGTGCAGCATGGTGTGGACCTTGTAGAATGCTTGCACCATTTTTTTGTGATCTCTCAGAGAAATACCCATCTCTTATGTTCTTGTTGATTGATGTTGATGAACTAACTGTAAGTACCGGAAAGTATTTTGTAATATCTATCTGCCCCATCCCTCTTTGTACATATCTGTGAGTGTGTATTCTTGTTTTATTTATTTATTTATTTTCTGCAGCTAGGGGAATATATAATTGAGACATCAACTTAGTGGAGTGTTGTGGACCATATCCTGACAATTAACTTTCTCTTAGTACCGTTAGTAGAACTTGCTGCTGCATGAAGTTTGTCCGCTTTGCGTTACAAATTTGGCTAGGCATATATGAATCGTAGCCATACACTCAATAGCAAATAAGTAAATAAATATATAGGATCCCAAAGGGGGGCAGACCATCAGTTTGATATTGATATCTTGGAGATCTTTGGTTCAAAACAACCTAGAAGGAATTAGGGTTTATATGATGGGGATTGTCAAGGTCAATGGGTCTCCCATGTAGCGACACAAAGAGATAAATTTATAAAGAAACAAACAGTGTGTATTTCATGTGTTGTTGAAGTATTTTAATTGATTGGTGAAAAGTACATGTGGTTGTGTGTTGCAGGACTTCAGCACTTCGTGGGATATTAAAGCTACTCCGACCTTCTTCTTTCTTAAGAATGGGCAGCAAATTGACAAGCTTGTTGGAGCAAACAAACCGGAGTTGCAGAAGAAGATTACTGCCATTTTAGATTCGGCAGCCAAATCTGGGCAATGACAATTTATAGTGGTTCCTGCTTCATAGCTTACTCTTCCCGCTGAACATTTTGTGTTGTTCTGAGTTTTGGTTGGTTGCATGTAATTTTTAAACTTGTCTTTGTGTATTTATATTAAATACCATTTTTTTTTCTTTTTTGCCTCGTCATGTAAATATGACCATATCTGGTTGCATCTACGGCTCTTCCTTTAGAAGGCCAATGACCTGGTCCTTGCTGCTTGTGAATCTCTCCCCCCCTTATTCTTCAAAGCAACATTCATCCCAAGTGCAAGTGTTGTTTTCGTTTGAAAGCATTTCCATTTCCATGCGCTATTTCACCTTTTAATTAAATAATTCAATCAAGCTCCCAACTCCATTCGGTCCGAGTTTACCAGAAAAGGCAGCATTGATTCAGTCTTCTTTAATTTCTCAAGTCGGATTTGAATTTCTATTTTCTTTTTTTGTTCTTTTCCCTTCAGAAAGTTCCACGTTTTGATGTGGTTTTTAAGGTCAAATTTCCGAGTCGGTGGTGGTAGTGGAGGCCATGTTCGAGTATCCAATCACTCAGCCCGTTTTGGCCTTCTTTCCGCTTTTAAGCGCAACAAGTGGCGGCACCTGCTTCATCATATCCGTGTGGACCCCCCAAAAACATCTTCATTGTAATCCTCCAAAAACTGTTTTCTGGTTTCTTTCGGGGTTAGAACTAAAAGTGTGCAAATGTAAATAGAATTTAATCGAATTGAAGTGAGCTTGACTTTTTGGTTTCCTTTAGTTCAGGTGCTTGGTTACTTTGAACATTAAGATTGGGTTATTTTTGTATTTTCAGTTAAAAGATTCAGTTATTATGATTAAATGATTTTGATTAAGAAATTTGTTCTAATGGAACTTAAATGCAGGAGTGATTTTATTTTTTTTTTCAAAATTTTATTTTTTATTTAAAAATTAATTATGAATGCTTTATTTTAATATATCAAAATTTTAAAATTCAAACTACCTTCTCTTAATTCAATTTTCGATTATGATTGTACTTCACTTCAATTTTGATTAGTTTAAAAAATGAATTTGATTACTTTGATTATGAGAAATCCAAAATTGAATAAATCGAACTAATACTTTGTTCTGACCTAGTTAAAACACAACTTTTATATTCGATCATGTAATTCTAATATAGTAAGTTGAAAAATACAAAAATTTCAATTATAAAATATCCATTATCCTTCTTTATTTTTTTTAATAGGAATACGTGCAACTACCACGTCATCGTTTAAACAAAGGGTTCACACCTAATCCTACCCACATCATCCGATAATATAAACTTTGATACCAAAAAGGACTTTGCCTATTAAACCTCTATAATTCAAAAATTCATTTGGCCCCGTGTACAAAAGTCATAGACAGCTCTCTACGCTATTTCTATCCCACGTTTTGCTGCCACTGCCAGCTGCTCCAAAATATTCTCTCAAATTTTAAAATATTTGGGCAAAAACAATCAATTTGTCACTGTCATGGACAATCTAGCAACCTAACACGGACCCCACGCACATGGAATACACCACATTGCTTTCATTATTGTTCTTTTAGGCTTTCTTTCCCTCTTTGTTTTAAACCATCAGGCGGATGGGAACAATGGCAGGTTGCGTTTGTATCATGAAATAGGCATGTCATAACCAGCATCCATTGCCAAATACACAACAAAGCAGGACTATAAGTTAAATGCAAATGGCAGTGCAACACATTATTTTTTACACTCTTCAGGAAATTTTAGATACAAATTACAACTGACTTGATCAAAACATATCGAGTGAAGGGGTGAAAAAAATATATATTGATGCTAACAGTAAGTAAATGAATACGAATAAAGAAAGCCAAATTTTCATTCCGTGGGTCAAGCAACAACAGCAAGCGCATCAGCTTACCGGATTCTGTCGGAGCTGAGCTCTTCCCAAATGCGATCACTTCTGTACTTCTGATCTCAACGCCCTTTAGGGTTCATGATCTGTGAGAAAACAGCACTAGGTGTCAACCCATCAGAGTCTTCACTAGCTAGGCTGCGACCACCAATGCTCATACTCATACCGCTGCTCCTGGAATCTGTCACATTACCATCAAAACCAAGGGATGCATTAGGGTCTTTCTTGCCTTTACAGGTTACATCATAGGCCCCCTCCTCAATGTCCATTCCACCAATTCCTTGGCCACTCTCTTCTGCGCTCTCCTGTAGCTGCAGAGCAAACTCTAGGTTCCACAGAACATCACCCATAGATGGTCTATCAATTCCCTGATCAGCAACGCACTTCATCGCAGTCTCAGCAAACTTTTTGAAGCATTCTGGTGCTATCTTCCCTCTCAGATAAGGGTCCATAATCTGATCAAGGATGCCTTTCTTGTGACAATGTGCAGCCCACTCTGCAAGGCTCACTTGCTCCTTCGGAAGTGTAGGGTTCAATGCTGGACGAGCACAAAGGATCTCAAAGAGGACGACCCCAAAAGAATAGACATCCGACTTATCAGTTAGCTGCTGCCGTCTGAAATACTCAGGGTCTAAATAGCCAAAGCTACCCTTCACTACAGTGCTCACATGAGTATGATCCAATGTGGGGCCAGTTTTTGACAATCCAAAATCAGAAACTTTTGCCACCCACTTCTCATCCAGAAGAATGTTTGTTGTCTTGACATCCCGGTGAATAATTGTGTGTTTGGCACCAGTGTGGAGATAGTGTAAACCGCGAGCAGCTCCAATGCATATTTCAAGCCTTTGCTTCCATGGCAGAGGAGGCTTTTGGGTTTTGTACAGATGTTCACGCAATGTTCCATAAGCCATATAATCATAAACTAAGATCATTTCACAGTTCTCTTCACAGTAACCAATCAATGAAACAAGGTGGCGGTGTCGGAGTTTGGAAAGCATTTCAATCTCAGTCTGGAACTCATGCACACCTTGCTCAGATAGTGGGTTGCCACGCTTGATTGCAACTTTAGTTGTCCCACCATCAATTTCTCCCTTGTAAACTTTGCCAAAACCTCCCACCCCAAGAAGTAAAGCCTCATCAAAGTTATTCGTGGCAGACTTGATCTCAGCAAATGAGAAGTGGCGGCAAAGGTTTGATGGAAGGGAGGATGCATAGCTCCCTGTGGTATTTGTTTTTGCTGAACCTGCAGAGTGTGAATTTCCATATAAAGAAAGAGGAAGCCATCCTGATGGACCATCACTTGTGCTCGTATCCTTTCCATGCCTACGGCGACGTGAAGCAGCAACAACACAGAAACCAACTATGAGAGCTAGAACCACTCCACCACTGACTACCCCAGCAACAATTGCCTTCCGGTTCTCAGAATGGCCTTGAGGAGATGGCAAAGCCAATGATGGGTCGACTACACCTTGTTTTGGACCAGGGGTGGGATTCAGGCCTGCAAGGTTGCTTTTTGGATCACTTATCTTGAATATCTCCACGCCATTTAAGATTGCATCATAATACTGGGGCTTTTGACTTGTGGATGGATGCAATGCAAGCCAGAGATCCTGCTGTGGACTCCCTCCAGGGGGAACAAGGACCACATAATCCCTATGCACAGGAGCATCAACTTGTTCACCTGCCAGGGCAATCACATCAACACCAGGGTCGGCAGTCTGATTGTTGAGGAAGACATCAAACACTCTCTGATTAATCTTAGTGATGTTTTCCGTAAACTCACAGAAATGGAGTCTAACCAAGTAAGAGAATCCAGAGTCAATACTGAACATCCAGGTTAAATTGTAATTAACGTTTATTTCAGCACTCGGCCCCATAGATCTAGCAGTAGTGTACACATTTTTTGGTGTAATATAAGTGGGCGTAGTTCCATAATCAAGCGTGACATTTGGATCAGCAGCTCCTGAAACTCCATATGCTGCCCCAAAAAGGTATGGCTGATCATCATACCAAGACCTAAACAGACCTGTATCACCAGAAGGCGAGATATCATTTCCACCCACATTCAACCGGTAAACATTCTCAAGTGCCGTGCTGTTATCAATGGTGAATTGATTATTTTGACCCACAATCGTTATTCCATCAGTATTGCTGTAAATATCAGGCATTGACAAAACCTCAATCCCATTGACAAACGCATAAGCATTTGAAGGAGTTGAAGAGGGACTAAATGTCAAATTCAAATGGTCGCCATCCACATTGATGGAATACTCCTTGATAATAAAGGCGTAATTCAAAGCTTCACTCGTTTGAGCAGCGCTGAAATTCTTAAGAAGAGTATAGGAACCACAAGTGACTGAAAACAAAGCATTGGTTGCATTCTGGCCATCATACGAATTAGCATAGAAATACAACCTAACAAACTTCCGACCAGCTACTACCGGGAAACTATAGGTGAAGCTAGAAAGAAAAACCCGGGCACTCAAATAAGGAACTTCAGGAACCGCGGGATCTTGCGTCGCAGCTTGGGAAGGGACAGAATTAGTCCCACCTCCCACCAGAAACTTGGAACCAACATCCGGTGTCCATTTCCGGTTATCGTCATCGGTCAGCTCAGATTTCTCACCACAATTTAGGAGAATTTTCTCAGTTGGCACATAATCAGCAGCTAAGACGAGTTGAAATAACAAGGAGGCGAATATGATAACAGACATGGGAAAGGAGTGACCAGCTGAGTTCCTCATGGAGTCAAATAACAAATCAAATGGAGTTCGCAATGCGAGATCCGGGACAGAGAAGACTTAATTTTAGAAAAAAAAATTGAAAATATAAAAGGAACCCAGAATTCCTTAGCTAAAAGAGCATAAAGATTTCAGATCCAAAGGGCAAGCTAGCGACCTCAAAAAGATAAATATCTAAAAGCATGCAAGAAAGACAGAAGGTTGCGTATGAAAGATGTGTAAAAGAAGAGACTTTCAAGCCATTTACCTTGAGGAAGCTCAAGAGAAGAGACTAGAGAACTCACGGAGTCAAATCGGAGAAGACGGCGACAGAGAGATACGAGGGCGTTGTTTGTTTTGGGCGAGAGAAAGTGAAGAAAGAGAGCCGGTTAAGGGACCAGGAAACTGAACCACCCTTTCAGGAAGTTGTGGTTTTTAGTTTAGATTTAGTGTCTGAATTCGAAGGTTAATTATTTTTAAGTTTGTTAGTTGCATTGACGTTGAATTAGTAGCAAGTAGTAGTATTTTTTTCCTTCCCGACACTGTTATATGTTAAAATGACAAAAACACCCCTATATGTGTTAAAATATTACTAGAAGAGGTTTTGATGATCGGATGACAGATCATGATGGACAGACAGAGGAAGGAAGGCGATCACAGGGAGGGAGCAGATCCGGGGACGCGTAAACGCGTTGTTTTTGCTTTCCAGTTTCGAAAATAGAACCAGAAAGTGGTTTTATTAATGAATGTTGAGTTGGGGACTTTAGTTTTTGGGGTCCCTCTTGGTATATTGCATATGGGAGGCGTGGGTCCCACATCAAAAATCTTTTTCTTATTTATAACATTATTATTTTAATATAATACTCAAATAAATCTCTAAACTATTTTAAAATATTTAAATAAATTTTTATTTTTTATTATATTCAATTAAATTTTTATATTTTTATTTTATATCTTATGACTAATAATTGATTAATTTTCATTAATCTAAATGCTATTTATTATTTTATATAGAGATAGTATTGGGTACTCATACTTGTGGATACTTTACTCGATTGTATAAAATTTGGATACTTTATAATCAGGTTTGAGACGGATTTTAGTAGTAATTTCATTACTCATATAGAGTTAGGATATCACTCATTAAGTACCCGTTATCCGAACTCGATTATTATTTATAAATATTTTATTATTATTTTAATAATTAAATTAAAATCTTATAATTTTTACCAACTTTACAAGTAATTCTTTTTGTTAAAAATTGACAAATATATGAAAAGCGTAATTACTCTAATTATTAGTATGATGACATTAATATATTTAAATTAAAAATTTATTAGATTGTTAATTATGTTTAAATAATATGAATATTATCTTTCAAAAAAAAATATGAATATTATATCATATTATAAAAGAATATAATTACTATTATATATATACTTTTAATATAAATATATTTACTTTCTATTTTGTGTTAGCATTTCAAAAATTGTAACTTATAAACTTATTAATTATAATATATATACTATTGTTTATATAATCTTATAATATATATACTTAAAAAAAACTTCTGAGATTAAAAGAGTTTTGAAAAGTAATTTTTTTAATTTCATGAAATTAAAAAAAAATTATATAATTAATTAAATTAATTTATGAAACTACTATTATTAATTAACTTGTAATATCTTTTAATATATATAATATATATATTGTGTTAATTTATAAGAAATATAATTATTATTATATATATCAGCATGTCATATCATTATCAATTATGATATTTTCACATATCACTTTAACTCCGTGAGGTATGAAATGATAAATAATATTTTGACTAAATTAATCATTAATTATAAAAATTATTTGACTCGAATTAAAGTGTAAGGACTTATGTAGCTTAAAATAAAAATATAAGAGTTTATTTGACTCAAAATAAATATATAAAAATTTAATTGAATGCAATAAAAGTATAAAGATTTATTTGAAATTTTTAATAAAAATTTAAAGGTTTTTTTTAAATATTATGCATATTATCTTTCACCCAAACATTGAAAAATGATAAAATAGAATTTTAAAAACTATTTTCCTAATCACCAAACAAGGATGAAAAAGGAAAAGATTTCCTTGAGACGAGGTGACAAAATGAAATGGAATTTGGAAATTTATTCAAGGTAGTTTAAAATCGAATCCAATTCAATCTTATTTACAAAAATTCAAAGACCTAAATTTGAATAAACTCAAACCATAAAATTAGAATTTCCTAAGAGTATTCCATCTCTCTCTTTATGTAGTCTATCAATAGCAATAATTTTTGTTGTTTTAAAAAAATTCTATAAATTTTATGCAATTATACTTTAATAATTTTGTTTTTTATATTTTTCTTTGTCTCCCTAAATTTTTATTTTTTATTTATCCTATTTATTTCATGGTTTTTTAATATACTTTAAAGCTAATTTTATTAATATGTATTTTATTTAAATTTATTACTCATGTTACTGCATAATTAAATTGATTTTTTATTTAATTTAAATTCTATTGTTCTCTCTATCGTTCCTCATTCTGTTTCTTTTCTTCCTTCCACTTACTTTTTCTATGTTATACATAATTAATTAATTAAATTGGTTATCTAAATATTCCTCACTTTTCTTGAATTTTGTTCACTATTTTTCTAATTGTTTTTATCATAAATAGTAGTTTTTTACTTTGAATTTTATCTTCACATCACTTTTGTAATGCTACATCTATACGTCACTTTTTATCTTCATACTAAATTTCTTTTTCTTATGTTTTTATCTTTGTATAACAATATAATCTATATCATAATTGTTGTGTTTTCTTTTTTTTTTTACTTAAAATTTTTAATTCGTTCTATTTATATTTCAATTTTTTTAATTTTTTATTTGCTTTTCCTCCATTCTCCTCTTTATTTTTTTCCTCTCGTTTTTTTCTTTGTTCTCTTTTCTTCTTCCCTCGCGGAGGACGCAGGACTAGTCCAACTATAAGGCCCAAGTCTGGCCCATGACGGTCCTTTCTGAATGTCGGGTCGGCATTCTCTCCCTCACTCTCCCTTGGGCCTTTGGTGCTTCATCTGGCATGCTGTTCCTCTAGCCCTTGTTCTCGCCGGGTCCTTACTCCTTCCCCACTCTGTCCCTGACCCTTTCTCTTCCTCCCTCCCCCGTTTTATCTATTCTGAAAAACTATTAGAAATAATAATATTATCAAAATTCCTGTCCAGATTTTTATTTTTTATTTTCTGAAACTTTTTCTTTTAGTTTTATCGGCCAAACACATTACCTAAACCGATCACACATCAAAGCTTTGTAAATGAAAATGAAAGGATTCGTTCCAGTTTTGCTTACCTGCAATGAGTGAAAGCTGAAAACGACGTCACACACTGCCCTGTTGCTGCAATCAAAGGCTGCCGATTTGTTTGTTCTTCTTTCTTAACTTGGTTGAAATTATTTCTCTCCTCTATCGAGTTTCACACACTTCAGCAAAAGCTGAAGATTCAATTTTTCAACAGGTTTTTTTCATATATGCAGGGACTGAGTGAGTGAGTGCCCAAATCTTTCTTTCTTTCATGCTTGCTTTATATTCTGAGTGCAAGTTTCATTGGACTCGATAGTTCGATTGTATCCCAAGAAATGCAATGATATTCACATCCTAACTACTACTTGTTGGACTCTTGAATCTGGACCCACTTCAGAAGCTTAACTTGGGAGTGACTTCTTTCCAGCTCTATCAAATGTTACTGAAGCTAGCCTTCCCTTCTCTTCGAATTCAGTTTACAGTGTCTGTCTACCCCATCAGCCTATCATCGTATCCCATATCTGTTTTCGAAAGGGAAGGCAATGGCTGAATGGCTGACCAAAGCAAGAATTTTTTCTTAACGCCAAAGCTAGAAAGATCATCCCCTCTTCCATACTCTTCTTGTATCGCAATTTCAGACATCCAACTAAGAATTATTAAAGATTGTTACATGTGGATAGACATGGTTGCAACCTAGACATGTATAAGTATGCTATCCTCGGAAGATGCAAAATGCAGCTTTTGAGTCAGTTTTCAGAGCAATGGATACGTGCAAGAGATGCTTCATTCTTACATTGGCCTTGGCCATTTTCCTGATTTTCTTTGAAAATTCAGGGACCACTGTCTTTGGTTTTACTGAGGACAATGAGCTGACTGAAACCATGGTGGAGGAAGCCCTGCATCATTCACCATATTTTAACACAAGGCAAGGGTACTAACCAATCAGAGGAGCATGCCCTTTCATTAGAATTTTCTAATGTTCAAGTTTAATTCTGCTTCAAGTTTCAACAGTTACACATTATAATGTATTCACGATTTACTGTGTATCGTTCAGGAGATATGATGTGGAAGACGTGGGAGATGATGACTGGCTAATGGTGGAGAGGAACGGGAACCAGTTTGTTGTTAATGGTCAACCTTTCTATGTCAATGGATTTAATACCTACTGGCTGATGGTATTCGCAGCGGATCAATCTACAAGAGGAAAAGTCTCTGAACTATTCCAACAAGCATCTTCAGTAGGACTAACTGTTTGCAGGACTTGGGCTTTTAATGATGGCCAATGGCGAGCTCTTCAGAAGTCTCCATCAGTTTATGATGAGGAAGTATTCAAGGTACTAATCTCACTCTCAATGTTGATATTATTTGGTGTTGAAATTTTTATTAAGTTTTGGACGTACAAAATTTTGGTTTTGAACTAGTGGCATATTTAAATTGGCATTCATCAGATAATGTAATTTCATATCCAAATTATTGCAGGCCTTGGATTTTGTAGTGAGCGAAGCAAAGAAGTACAAGATCAGGCTCATATTGTCTTTGGTTAATAACTGGGATGCATATGGTGGCAAGGCACAATATGTTAAGTGGGGGAAGGCTGCCGGCCTCAACTTGACCTCTGATGATGAATTTTTCTCTCATCAAACTCTTAGAAGTTACTACAAGGCCCATGTTAAGGTCAGTTCTTTTCTACCGTATGTTACAGTTTTGGTTTGTTGAATTTGCTGATCAACTCCATTCTCAATAGTTTGACAAAGTGGAATTCATTGAATAAACATTGTGTTCAGCATTTTACAAACTCCTACCTTAGTTACATTTCTGTTTATGTCTGTTGATTTTTTTGGCAATGTAGGCTGTGCTAAATAGAGTCAATACACTCACAAACATAACTTACAAGGATGACCCTACAATTTTTGCTTGGGAATTGATGAACGAACCTCGATGCACCTCAGATCCCTCTGGGGATACATTGCAGGTTTGGTTTTTTCCTAAAAACTAGTGACAAATAAAATTATGTCAATTACTATCACAATCTGAAGCCACTAAATTCTACTATTGTCATTATCTTCTAGTCATGGATAGCAGAAATGGCAGTGTATGTGAAGAGCCTTGACGCAAAGCACTTGGTTGAAATTGGACTAGAAGGATTTTATGGTCCCTCGGCACCTGCAAGGGCTCAGTTCAACCCAAATTCATATGCAACTCAAGTGGGAACTGACTTTATAAGAAACCATCAGGCTCTTGGCGTTGATTTTGCTTCTGTTCACATTTATGCAGATTCCTGGTAAAAGCCGTCATTCCTGTTGGAACTATTGTAAACATTTTATGCTTCCTATAATATGATACAGGCATTATGCAGTTCATCAGTATTCAGTCATGCTAACATTAAAGACATATTAAGCTCCAGCATACGTGTGCCTGCCTCTTCATCATAATATGCTTTTGTGCTTATGCTCATTTGTCTACTCTTCTTCGTATTACATGTATGGAAACTTCCTAATAGATGATTTAACTAATTTGTGAAGGATTTCACAAACTATTTCTGATGCTCATCTCCAATTCACAAAATCATGGATGGTAGCCCACATAGAAGATGCTGAGAAATATCTAGGAATGCCTGTTATCTTTTCTGAGTTTGGTGTATCCACGAAAGACCCTGGCTACAACTCATCATTCCGAGACACTCTTATTAGCACAGTGTACAAGACACTCTTGAACTCGACAAAGAAAGGTGGGAGTGGGGCTGGCAGCCTCTTGTGGCAGCTGTTCCCTGATGGGACAGACTACATGGATGATGGCTATGCAATTGTCCTTGCAAAGTCTCCTTCTACATCGAACATAATATCCCTTCATTCGACAAGACTAGCAATCTTCAACTCCATGTGTTCTTGGAAATGCCGTTGGGGTTGCAAGAAGAAAAATGCTCTGGAGACATTCCTCTACCATGATGATCTGTAAAACCGTTTATGGATGAAGGATCCTTCTAGGACAAGCATGAAACAAACAGCTATTATACATGTAAAATGAGAAATGAAAGAGAAAAGGGGAACAAATAAGAACTTTGTAGAGAATGATATGGTCTCCACAGCATGCTTATCATCCAATCAAATTACTTGTTCCAGCAATACTTTCTATCAACCATTATAAGCATTTCTTTGTCTTATCACATGTAATCCATGTGGATCAGAATTTGGATACCATACCTGCTGTTAAATTACAACATCCCTATTATGTACTCTGCATCTTCTCCCTGTTTATCCTTATCACTCTACCTGTCAGATTAATCAATGCAAATTCCATACTTCAAAGGTCGGATCTGTAAGTTTTACACACAGGTAATTCTTTTGGCCTTCAGAGTCGTAGATCAATGATTCTTTCTTTCCCCAGATAATGCCATGCATTCGTGGTAATTTTGTTGGATTCAGAGCAAGTAGAGCAGAAACCCAAGTCTTTTTGATTCCGGTCCTCTTCCTCATTCCAGTTAGATTGTTAATTGCAAAGTTCTTTTGCTGTCAGTATTCTTAAGTGGTAGCCCTTTAGGAAATTTAGTTGCAAATAACAAGAAATGTAATTCACTTTCAAGCATAAGTTTTCACTCAAATAGATTATGAGGCTCTCCGTTGATAATCATTTCCCAAAACTATTACTACTTTATGCCCAATTTATCATGTTGCTATTCCCCAATCACTACGGTAAGTCCTGGTTGAGCATACCATTATCGTGGAAGCTGTCTTCTTAAGCTTGAAAGGCAATGTCTCTGATTTTTGCACTTCGCTCGATTGCTCACAGGAAGAGTTGGACGAAGAAGTTTTATGACATTATTCTTCTCACTGGTTTGCATGGTGGCAACACATTTATTCTGCACATATATTTGAAATCATTTGCCAATGTGGGTAGCCTTCTTGAGGTTCTGAATTGGATATTGTTAGACTGGAGGTGACCACCCACTCTCAGCAGTTGCTATATCAGAACCCTAAAATTGTTAATTGTAAGTGGTGGGCAAGGAATTGCAATCTTGTGTTTGGTTGCTACAGTTGTGATTACTTGAAACATGCTTTTCTCTGTGTTCCAAATGAAATCCCCTACTGATGCCAAAACTGTTTTATGAAACATTGCATTGCTTTGTGTAAGAATCCCCTGAATGATATATTGATGTTTGAAGACAATTGGTTTTGTTAGGTGATGATTTGCACACCTTCAAAATAAGTCATGGTCATTCAAAGCCATGTTTTGGCATTGATTGACAGAGAAAACTTGCGAACACTGGAGCAAGCTATTTCAAATCCAAATGAGAAAAAAAAAATCTTCAGCTTTGAAAGTGGAAATGTATGACTTTGTGATTCTAATCAGCTGTCAAATTATATATCAATAATGGAACTGTAATTGCTGCCAGGGTAAGTCGAATGTGTGAGTACATTTTGCAGCCATTGACATTCAAGTTATATTCAGCAACTGGTGCAAAGAGCAGGCAAGGACCAAAAGAATTTTAACAATTATAGATATCAGAAAGGCAAAGATTTACTCACCCCGCCAGCAGCAGATTACCTAGTTAAAGCTGAATTTTGAAAGAACGGCAGCTGCCTGGTCACCACCTAACAAAAAATAAGGATGCCTGAGGGCAGCAGCAGCAGATAAACGCCCCCTTCTTAGGTATCCTCTCTCTGAAATGAGCTTTGTGGCTAGGTCCCAACCTCTACCAGAGTCAAGATCCAAAATTGTTAAGTCAGGCCTTAACCGGGTTCTCTCCCTCCATTTGTTCAAGTCATATTGGACTGCTTTCAGTTCCAAATTAAAGTTCTTTAAGTATGCTGTTGACCTCAGGGAAGGTATTGCCATTTGCAAGAGTACAATGCCAGCAGAATACATATCAAATAGATCAGGACTGTTCAGCTGCAAGGATGAATACAAACTCCACTTGTCACTTTGAAAGACTACACACATATGCAGCCCCTAAGAAGCAGTAGAATTTTGATACATTCAGTACTACACATGAAACAACAGACGAAAGAACCTTGTACCTGCCACAAAATTGGAGAAAGAAAAGCAGCAATTGGCTCTGGAGGAGGACTTGGTGTTTCCTCTGGTAGAACATATAGCTCAGGCGGGCAGTAGTCAGGATCAAGCAGCCCAAGGTTGGGTACAAAGTTCTTGCCAATGCGAAGGTCTGTTGCTGCCCCAAAATCAATGAGTTTAATCTTTCCGCGTTTTGTCACCACTAGGTTGGCTGGCTTTACATCACGGTGAACAATACCTGTGTCGTGAATCTTCTTAAGTGAAGTAATGATCTGGCGCATTATTTGCTTGATGATTAATGCATTTCGTTTAACAGATTCTACTCCTTGCAGTACACGTCCAAACATGACAGACTCTAAGTTTAAAGGGAATCTTCGATCTTTCATGTAATCAGCAAGAGTGCGGTCTCCCTGTCACATGGACATCTCTACAATTAAATACATGAAGACAGAGTTGATTTAATCTACGTATGCTACAAATTTCAACATGAATGAACCAGGACATATATAGGCCGTAGAGCTTAACAGCATATATCCTCCATGATTATTAGTCATATTCAATTTTTGCTTTAAATGATATATTAGTTTTAAAACCATGCGCACCATAATGTAATCTAAGGAAGCAGAATATGGCTTCAAAACAGGAGATTAAATGGATTTTGCATATTTACAGCTGACTGTTGTACCTCAAATTTCCAAACAAGCCACTTCCCACCCTTTATGAATTGTGAACTTGTTTTATCAGCAACAAAACTTCCAAGGAACTCAGCACATGTCTCTGGAGCTGCTCTTGAAAGCCTGTAGTTAAACCATTCCTCAAAATCTCCACATTCTTCAGCCCCTTGGACACCAACTTTAATCTGCAGCTTCCCAATAACAAAATTTAAAATAAAAAAAAATTGATATATTCGACTAAAGCACTCTAAAAGATCAGCTGGTTACCTTTTTGAGAATGACCTTCTCCTTAAACCTACCATCCATGTCCAGCGCTGTTCTTCCTCCTCTTTTTGGCACTCTTTCTTCAACAGAAACATTCTTTGGAACAATCACACCAGAATAAACAATACCAAAAGACCCTTCTCCCAGCTTATCCCCAACCAAAAAATCAGTCCTCTTCAGGCTCCTCCTACCAGTCAAGTAGTCCAACCCTAGTTGCAGAGGAGCAAGAAGGTATGCATCAATGGCACCTATAAGAACACCTGGCCTTGCAGTCAAGTAAATCCATGTAAGCCCTGCCAAAACAATGAAACCCCACTTCTGCAAGTCTGTTAATTCCCCAGTAACCGTTTCAAACCGAACAAACCCGGATTTAATGACAGGGAATTGAGACAAGGACTGCCCCAACAAATCATCTGAGATGCTGCCAAAGAATGCATTGCACCTTCCTGGGTTACTTTTGAGTCGGTTTGTGAAAGAAAAAAGATTAACTTGGGAAATGGACTTCAGAGGAGAGAAGCAAAGAATCTTAGGATTCTGCTGGACTGTTGCCGAAGTTGGACAGAGCAGGGAAGCCATACTGGTTTTCCAATAGGGTGAACTCTTACATTGTTAGCTCTGTCTGTTTTTTCACAAATTGAAATTGAAGCGTCAGCAGAAGGGCCGGAGGCTGCCTTTTGTCCACGTGTCTCTCATAGATTTATCCATTGAGCAGGATATATGTGGCTACAAAACTGCCTGATTTGGCTTCCTAGTCAGCAAAAAGTGGTAGCTTTATGGGCGTCAGGGCTTTGATCATATAAAAAGACAAAGATGGCCTAACAGGTAAGCAGTTTAGTTTATGCTTCCCCTTTCATTTGTATTACATACAATATAATTTTTATAAATTAATATTTGATAAAATAATAATTTTAATTAAATTATATTTTTAACTGATTACAATTTGAGATTAATATGATAAATTAATAATTTATTAAATTTATAAGACAATATATTTAAAAAAAACACATAAATTTCATTTGATATATAAATTAATAATTACATATATAAAAATTATATATATCATTCAAATAAAAAAAATTCAAAAAATATGATTTCAATATTACTTGTTTTCTCTTAAAATTGACACCTCTTTAGAACTCATTTCTAACTATTCTTTGTAAAATATGAGTCATTGATGTCTCCTTAACATCATTTTTAACTTTTCTTCAATTTTATCTTTTTTATCATTTTCTTTTTCAATAATTTATTAGTTATGAATAATGATAATTTGTGATTCTATAACTAAGTAATATTCATATAATCACAATATACAATAAAAATATTAATTTATTAATATATAAAAAAGATCTTAATAAATTAATTTTTATTAATTAATATATAAATTAATAAATTATTAATTTATCAATTAAATAATATTTTGATTCATTAATAAATTTTTATGATTTCGATAATATTAATTTATAAAAATTTTGGGAAACAGATAGAAATAATATGATTTGAAAGTGGTAAAGTTCACAATCTTTTAAGATTCAATTATAATTTCATATAACTATAAAGTAACGTAGGAGTTGGGCTAACATGCCCGTGAAGGACAGACTTGAAGTAAAACCAGACATCTATAATCTGAGCACAGAACATACTGCAAATGTACCACGGTTCGCCTCCCAAGATCTTTCTTTCAAACACGTAACAGTACTAACGCAAGGAACTACTCTGAAGACAAGGGGTTACAGGCCTTATGTAAGTGAAATCGGTGAAAGGGTTTACATTGGTTTTTGGGCTAGAAGCTGGGGAAAACGACAATGACAAGCCAGTCCATCGCTCGTCGAAGTTGGCGATGCAATGCTTCCCAGCAACTTCAGGACGAAAACAGGGTTGGATTTCCCTGGCCTCTAGTTTCTTCCAGTTGATTGGCTGGAACCACTTGTGTTGCTTAATTTCCTCGCTTCCAGTTGGTCCACTTCCAAGGCGCTTGCCGGCATCTTTATGTAGCAGCTAAAACAGCAGAAAACCAATTATCAGAATTTTTGAATCACAACTATATAAAACCCAATAATCAACTCCTCAACTAATGATAATAATGAATCTCCTTGCTCCCACCTCCCACTCATAACCCCACAAAAAGTGTTGGGAAGATCGCCCATACAGTTTTGTTTCGTGCATGGGCTATCAGGTGAATCATAAACAGAAAAGACATAGTTCTAGACTGGCGTATGAACATTCATTCCATTATGTAAATTGATAATGGAAGGAGATCCCAACATCCTGACTTACCATCATGAAATCAACCAGAAAGATGCAAATAATGTGTCGACACTCAAGACTTGAGACAGGAAATGAGAAACATAAATTAAGGCTTTTGAATATTTACCCCTTTCAACAGAGAATGTGCTTCACCAGTAAGGAAGCTGGGCAGCTTGATCCTCTCCTTAACAATCTTCTGCTGTACTTTTTCCCTGTTTCCACCAATAAAAGGAGGCTGCAGGAACAAAAAGCACCAAAAATGAATGTTTAATTCCCACAAACTGCCATAACGCAAAAAACCTCCCAAAAGTGTATCTAATGTTGAAATAGCAAAAAAAAAAACCATGGTTTTGATGTTGCTGAGATAAGTTCTTTGAGAGACTTGCAATCCCATATAAAAGGCCTACGAGGTCATACATAGATGTTACAAAGTTATGGTGCTCTATCTTGAGCAAAGCATGGTTACCACCTTTCAAATATAAAATATACTTCAGTTGTGAACCAAATCGATCACTCTCCTTAGACCACCTTTATCTGAGCCAGTGCTTCCTCTCTTTCTGTATTCCTATGTCATTGTCTACACTTGATATGCTTATCTATACAATCTAAATATTCAACTAATTCCTAATATAGGCACTGAGGTTGTGCAGACTCATATTGAATATTTCATCGTCTAACACAGACATTAAGTAAACAAAATGTATGTCTATACTACCAGTTTCTGATGGAATTCACCATGACTAAATAAATTTGTCTCTTGATGTCGACATTAAGGATCCAACAAAAAGCCAGTCTACCAATATTTGCATGTAGAACCAAAACTCATCCAAAGAGCAAATAATAAATAGCTAAATAACAAATGAAAGTAAGCAATTGAACACCCAACATAGCAACATTAAATGCAGAAAGAAGAAAGCAGCTAAAAAAGGAAACGCCTACCTTTCCTGTAAGCATTTCATATAATAAAATCCCAACACTCCACCAGTCTGCAGCCTTATCATGGCCCTTCCCAGTAATTATTTCCGGTGACATGTATTCCAGCGTTCCACAAAACGAGTTTGATCTTGTATTTTCGTCAAATTGCTTAGACAAGCCAAAATCAGTCAGCATTACCTGCACAAAACATGGTAAAACGGTTATTTTTAATTTGTTCCTGTTACAGCAGACACAAATAATGATATATAGATAAAGAGGAGAAAGTGAATACGTGGCCATCAGCATCCAAAAGAATATTTTCAGGTTTAAGATCCCTGTGCATTATGCCATTTGCATGAAGGTGCGAAACCGCAGAAACAATCTCTGCAGTGTAGACACGAGCCAGGTCCTCTCTGAAAAACAAATCAAAACCATTAATAAACCAGTCGACCTTGTGTTGGCCAAATTACTATAATAAAATCCAATGATAACAGTGATACCTGAAAAGACCATGGTGGTAAAGCTGAAAGAAAAGGTGCCCCCCATTAATGAAATCCAGAACAAGGTACAACCTATATTTGGTCTGCAAATCAAGAAAATGGAAGCTTAATGCTCCAAAATTTGCCAATGAATATTTTATATAAAATTCATTAGCTATAAGGCAAGATAAATATCTAATTCCTCAAACATCAGTTACAAGCATAAAAAAATATATTCTGAAGATTAGATTCAAGGAAGAGAAATTACTTGGAATGAGTATTTGAGCTGGACAATGAAAGGATGATCAACTTTTGTTAAAATATCCCTCTCAGCTTTCATGTACTCTGCATGATTCTTCTCCATTATCTTGTCCTTCCGCATGACCTTCATTGCATAAATTTCTGGTGTGCCCTTTTTCCTTACCTGATATACTTTTCCAAACGCACCCTGCCCAACAACCTTCAAAATCTCAAAATCCTCAATGTCTATGCTGCGGACCTTTATGTGATCTCCATTAACATCTTCAACAAACTTCTTATCATCACCATCTCCAAGGGATTGCTCCTCAACTTCACTGATAGTTTCTGCCTTAACACACCCTACTGTATCCACAGAAACCCCTGTCTCACTTAAAGTGAGTTTGCTTAGGTTCAAGCATTGACCAACACAAGAAGAGGGGCCACGCAAAGAATGTGATCGGCTGTAAACAATAGCTGGTTCATCATAAAAAAGCGCAGTCTCAACTGCAGCAGAAACAGTATTGTCTAGTTCACCACAACTGACTTCTATTGAGGCCTGAACTGGCAGGGGGCCGAACACATCAGCAAAATCTAACTCAATCTGATCAGGCACAACAGCTTCCAGGGGGTTTACAGGAAACAGAAACTGAGCATCAAAGGGTTTACAGGTTCCTGCCTTGGTCAAACCAGTTAACTGTGAGGAAACCATGTTATCAAAGTATTAAGAGGCAAATTTGCCAACAAAGTAACGAGTGATGACTATGGCTCAACACTTCCAAAAAGTCTCCTAAGGGTGCACTACTACAGGACTTCTATCAATGGCCTTGATCAAGACAAAGTTGACGTATGTGATAGGAGTTCCAAGAAACTTTGGAAGCAAGCAGAACAAGATCCAGAAGAAGTCGTTCTTGTTTCCCGATTTGCAGGAAACAGTGGAAGCTCCAGTGGTTCTTGAATTCATGAAGATCGTGCAGTCAAATCTGCCACTCAAAGTTCACAACAAAATCCTAAAATTAGAAACAGAAAAACCAAATGATCTTTTTTCCTGATAATCAAGAAATTGATTCAATTATAAAAATTGGGGAAAAAAGAAACAAAAAATTGATCTTGGAATGAAAAGGACAAACAAAGAGGTCCCTCCATTACTGATAAATGATGGCTAAAGCAGAAAATCAAGACTTTTAAGAGAAAACTACTGAGACCAAGCAGATTCTAAAAATGAAACTTAGCAAGCAAAAGACTTTAAAATACAGACTTACAATCGCCAACCACATAACAAGCTGGTTTTTTTTTTTTTTTTACAATTTTATATGCTATCCTTTTACTCGAAATACGACCAATAAAATTAGCAAAACTACTAAAGTCTGAAAATTGGAAGACAAATGTTTCCAATCTTAGTTGAAAACAAAGTCGTCTAATTCTCTTGAAATTTACAAGGATTTTCAAATCTACTTATTTACCATATAACTAAATTGATCATACATGGAGGGTAAACGGATTCAAGCTCTTGGCTTTTTTCATTTGATTGAAAGAGAATCTAAGATATATAAATGAACTGAAACTTCATAAAGAAGCAGAAACGCATGCAGAAAATTACTTCATAAATATTGACGAACAAGAATGACGTTTCGTTAGTTGTAACAGAGAAACAAAACCGTACTGATATAAAGCCATCAAATTCAAATCCAAAGTGCAAGCTCATCTAACAATAAGGACGCTATCGATCATAATCTTTCTTATTTTCTTTCCCATAACCATCTAAAGAGAATAACAAAGAAAAATAGAACGCGAAAAGAGAGAGGAAGGCGATAAGGTTTACGTGAAAAGAATTACCTGGGAAGGGTGCGTGCCGGGAAGAAGCAAGGGCCAAGGATTTTCTTCAACGGAACTAATGCTTGAAACCGCGCGACGCGTCGCCACTTATATACTAGCATAACAGCCCGTCTCTCCGCATATTCTATTCCATTCCGCTGTTCCCCCATTAATTTTGGATTTGGATGCAGTAAAAGTACACGTGGCTTATTTATACTGGTTGATCGATTTGGTCGCTTTATTTTATTATTATTATTATTAAATTTAAAATAAAAACGAAAAAGAAGTTCCACTTGGACTCAACTTGGAATATGCTGGCTTTTAATTCAGGCTTGGATTGGCAAGGCCGGCACATATTTTGAGTTGGCAACCAGCATTACATTTACCCCAAACTATTTCATCAAATTACTGGAATTGCCATTTACGTGTTTCGCTTTCTTTTCTCTGTTTCGTTTTGAAGGGGCCGCTACGCCACATGATATAAGTTAAAGAGCAGCATCCGTCTTCTTCTATTTATTTTTTTATTTTCATATAAATATATATTTATTTTGCTTTTGGAGCGATGAAATGAAAGCAATACTAAAGTGGCCTCAACGACTTCATGAATCCTACTATTTACAATAAGTATAACTTATTCGTGATTCTGTCGGGAATATAATTATATAAATGGATAATACCATCCATTCATAGTTAAAACAATAAAGTGGTCATCAACAGATGAATAGGAATTTTCAATTAAAGTTTTGTTTGTAACTAGTAAGAGATGCATTAGACTATTTAATCAAGTGGTAAGCTAAGTATCCGTTGAAAAATTATTATAGATTTGAGCCGTCAACAGTTTAAGAGTTCACATTAGATTTACTATACCCTAATTAAAAAAAATTTTGTGTTACCCCCTTTTTAAGATACTTCGAATCTCTGCCCTCCTTAAATTTCTTCACAAGACTATAAAGATCACCTTAGTAAGCAGACGGAGTATACATTTAAAATCGTTAAAAAAATTTGATATATTTACTATGATTATTTTTAATTGTTTGTCTAATTAATATTTTTGAATATTTTATGTGATAATGAATTTTACCATTACGAAATTTTATTATTTTTAAATTACATAATTAATTTATTTCTAAATAACATGTCGGTACAAAACTGTGTCGTATTTGCAACTACATCTTTTTTATTGTAATGTCTTTTTTAACTATATTTTGGTGACAACAGTTTTATTTTGCTTTTTTAACATCGTAATTGTAACGTGAATAAAGACAACCTTTGTGGTTGTAAAACTTGGTCTTATTTGCAAATATTTATATATATCTTTTTATAATTACAAATTGAATTATTACCATATCTTATCACATTTATAACAATAATTGCATAGATTGAACCTTATCATATTGGCTATGACATTTTATCAATTGAAAGTTGAAGATTTAACTTTATACTATTAACATTTTAAAATATTAAAAATACAAATAATCAAAACACCGGAATTTGGAATTGGAAATGTAAGTCATTTACCTAAGATTTTAATTGGATGATATTATATTTTCATGTCTGGTATAAAATATTATCAAGAAAATATTTGATCTCTTTAAATATTATACTTTATTTTTATCTCCTTAATTTATCCTTAGCACTCCCATTCATATATACTTATTATATTTGTTTTATTTTTCATTATTTGCATACATAATTATTGCCAGTTAAGAGGAAATTGATTGTAAAAGATAAATATCCTACTATTATTGATATTATTAAAAGCATTTGTTATTTATTTTTTAAGAAATAAAAGTAAAAAATCATTAACCGAAGAAGTTCAATAACAAAAAAATTAAAAAAATTTCTTTAGAAAATACTTTTTATTATTTTAAAAATAATTCTAGGTATTATTACAAAATAATTATTTTTAATAGTTTTGGACATTTCTAAAAAAAAAATTTGATATCTTTCACATATTTCAAAATTTAAATAATTAATATTCAAATATTATATTTTTTTATATTATGATTTATTATTTTAAAAACTAAAGTTTAAAATTTAAAAAGTTATATGTAAGTTTATCATGTAAATTGCAACATAATTTTCTCCAAATTTTAACCATATCTTTTTTCATATATATCGAATATTGCACTGTTATGTGGTGACCAATTGCCTAGCAGTTCGTTCCTATCGATTACATTCCCATTCCGAGGAGGCTAGTCGCCAGGGGCCGTATCCTTGTGTTTTTCATTTGTTATGTTCAAGATCACTTCTTTTGTTGTGCTTTTCATGCAAAAATTTGGAGGAAACTCTTGGTACTGGTAGCCACTGATAAACGGCTGAGCAGCAGCGGCGTCCAAGTGGCCGTGGCCCATAGCCATAAATTGAAATCCGCATAGCTCTGCCTCTGACGACAAAAGCTTTGAGGAATTAGAATGTGCAACTGCGTCCCCTGGTGCCCCAGCCCCCTGCCCTTTTCCGTTTCCATCATCAGACTTGGAAATACCACGATCAATAACTTACAGATTCCAGGTGCCCATTTCCCAATTATCAGAAGTAATGGCAGATTACAGCTTATTGAATGCAGTATGAAAGCCACTCCATCTTCAAGGTCTGGCTCAGAATCGGAGGGAGGGGGATATGGCGAGTTGGAGTTTGAAGACAAAGGGGACAACGAATTGGAGCTCCGACGACGTCGCAGCGATGCTAGCTTGGAGAGAATTAGTGCCGACGAATTGAAGGGCGAGAAGGGGAGTGGAAAAAGCGCGGATGAATTGGTTAAAATGGAAAGCAGGAGGAGGCGAGTGATGAAGAGGTCAAATCTGGTGGCAAAGCAAGTCATAAGTATCCAATCTGCTGAGAGCTTAGGCTTCGTGTCTCAATTATGGGTGGATACCACTTCAGTCAGTACTTTCTTCTTCAAATCCCATTATTATTTTATTGTTATTGTTGTATTATTGCCAATTTGCAGCTGAATTTGCAATTTTGGTATTCATTCTATCTTTATCTATGAAATATATTATTTCTACGAGTATCTTTACGCCTGAGTTTGGTTATTACTTTTAGTATTCACATTTTGATTCTGGAAGTAAAAAGCTAAAGCTTTTCTTCAATAGAAAAGCAAGTGCTTATATTATTACCGAATTAAAAGTTAAAAATTTTGCTTTTTGAATACCAAAACGTTTGATTTTGTTACTGTATGGAACAATTATGCTTGAACATGTTTTGCATTAATTTGTTTATTTTTAAATTAAATATAATATGAAAAAGTAAGTAGCAAAAGTCACAGCCAAATGGAACCTCGTTATTTGCTCAAGTTGTTAACAAACATTGTGTTGTTAATTTTTTCAGTGGCTGGTGTTGGTTGTGGAGGTGAGGCCAAGCTTGCTTGCTGGGGAATCAGAAAGGTTTCTTCTGCAAGATGTTGAAAAGGTAACAGATAGTATGTTTTTGTATTTGCATTTAAATGCTGCTAATTACATTTCAGTCTCTGGTTCATGTGTCTACAAATTTGCCTTTAACCACAACAGAGTGTGTGTCTGTAGATAAAGGATTATGCTTTGCTTCAGCCACTATTTACAATTATGTTCCTTGCCTGTAATTTTCTTCACAGCTGTTATCTTTTTCATATAGTATGTAATGTTTTTTTTTCTTTCACAGGTTGGTGATGTTGTGCTTGTTGGAGATGAGAGTGTGATGGAGAATGATTTTAAAATGATTAGACTTGAGACTCTGGTAGGTGTTGTTTCTTACCTGTCATACTCCACTGTTTGGATGTAAATCTCATCATTTGTGATCTATAATTCGTTGATAATTCTGCCCACATTATTAATTACGGTTTCTTGTATAGAATAGAGTTTTTCAATGCAAATTTTCTGCTATGTGTTTGGTGGTATGAATTGTCTCATGATTGGTATGATGCACAGATGAGGACTAGTTGTTCATTTGAAGTGGAGTAGTATTGTTTCAGCTGGTGACTTTTAGTTGTTTTAGAATGAAGAGACTTGACTTGCAATTTAGAGCCAGCTCTTATAAAATGCAACCATTGACTGTTGAACAATGTCATGGTTCTGTCATCTATGGAAATTATGCAGAAAACTTGAAATCTTTCCATGCCTTGGAGTCAACTAGTTTTCTATTTTACTAACTTTGAAAGTATGCACAAAATGATTTTAAGTGATGATTATTATTTTTACCATTGTTTTTTAATTTACAAGTGAAGCTTATATACTTAAATCTCATGGGATATTGAAATTTCCCCTTGTTTTTTCATTATTTTCTATCTTAGATTTTATTTTTGAGAGCCTCATTTCTGATGTTGGTTAGGTAGGATACAGAGTTGTAACACCAGGACATCAAAATATTGGGAAGGTGAGTACATATTTTATGCAGTAGAAAATCTCTTCTCATTTCAGTTTGATTTACAATAATCATCTCATATATCTTGTATGATTCTAGGTGCGGGGCTATAGTTTCAACATTAATTCAGGGGCTGTTGTATCTCTTGAGCTGGATTCTTTTGGGATATCCATCATTCCATCGAGTTTGGTAGTCTGACTGCTCCTTTCTCGTTTAATATAATTAATATCAAGTAATAGAAGAATGCAGATTGCCAGTAGTATTTACCTTCATAACCAGATTATGATTCCAGGTGAGCACTTATGCTTTGCTTATTGAGGATGTGCTGGAAGTTATAGCTGACACAGTAGTTGTTCACGAAGCCGCAGCCTCACGCATACAGAGGCTGACAAAGGTATCTTACTTGTCACTGAGTGTTTCTATTAAATAGTACTTGTTTGCTAATTTTTCTGATTTGGACCCAGTGGTGAAGTTTGAAAGTAGCTCGTCATTTCAAATGTATGTACTGGCACTCATGTAGATATGCATGCTTATTTGGCCCAGTTTAACTCAGCAATACCACCTTTATGCAGAAGATTTCTGTACATGCACTTGGTAAAGCTTAATCTAGTCCCTGCAATCATAACGAAGAAGCTTGTATTGAGGCAAACAAGCAACTTTTCCTGTGTCTGGTTCACAAGCATACAACTATTCTACTGCCGCTTTTCTGTAGTCTTTGGCTGACTGAATCTGGGCATGCATACATAGTAGCATATCAACATGTTGTATGATTACTATGTTTATCGTTATACCAATAAGTGGACATCTTATGATCTATGGATTGCTTCCTAATTCTTTTCAGATCTTTAGTAATAACTACTTCTCAGTTCTAGGGATCATTTGGAATGCCACGACTCAGTCTTGGTCTAACACCCTAAGTTGGCTAAAGTTATCTCATATGGTTATAGAAGCTGATATCTGCTTACAGAATTGAAAACACTTGCTGCCAGACGTGCTTGCTAATATGTTTCTTTTTATCTATAATATAAAATCTACCAGTAGTTAAATTCTTGACTTGCTTATGCCAGGGTTTCTGGGATGCTCAGAGTGCTGGTATTTCCTTAAATGAGCACACAGAATATGATGATGATGAAAGGCCTATTAATCTTGGTGATGGTTGGAGAACTCGGAGAGGTTTCAGTGGGCAGAAGTCGCGTTCAAAGAAGAGGGAAGCAGATGATGATTGGGAACTTCCAATGGACTACTTGTGAATTGGTTTTAGGTCTCCATGCTTGATCATTTTCTCCCTTTCTTTTGTATGCAGTTATATGAAAGAAATTGGTAGTAATCCGTACAGCATAAATCCCCTCATCCCTCTTTATTTTTCTTTCTTCAAATTTTACATGATCAAGGTGTAAATTATGTGAATGGAAGTTACTGGCTAATTGAAATTTGAAGCCACCCTTTGGTGTTTATTATCATGTTCTCCCCTCAACTTTCTCAAGCCTACTGCAGATGAAGCAAAGATTGTTATGATCATCTGTATTGGATTCTTGGAGTCATTTTGCATTACTTATTCCATTACTGGCATGTGGTTGCAGATAGACCACAGCTAAAAACGAAGGATAGAAGTATATGATATAATAAAGTAAAACTCAATTTGGTGAAATATTGCTTCCATTGGTTAAGCAACTGGTACAACAATCATGGTTTTGATTGAATCTGAAAAGTTTGCAGATAGACCACAGCTAAAGACGAAGGATAGAAGTGTCTGATATAATAAGAAAACTAATTTGGTGAAATTTGCTTCCATTGGTGCACTGGTACAACAATCATGGTTTTGATTGAATCTGAAAAGTTTGCAGATAGACCACAGCTAAAAACGAAGGATAGAAGTATATGATATAATAAAGTAAAACTCATTTGTGAAATATGCTTCATTGGTTAAGCAACTGGTACAACAATCATGGTTTTGATTGAATCTGAAAAGTGAAAGGCCATCGAAATTTCAACAAAAACATTTATTATTGGCCCATGCACGTCTCGAACCTGCGACCTTCGCGTTATTAGCACGACGCTCTAACCAACTGAGCTAATAGGCCCTCTTTTTCTAAATGTTTAAACAAAAGCTAAAGGTTATATAGTCATTGCTTATCATTTATTCCTCCTTTCATAGGACGTGAAAAGGTGAAAAAAGAGATGACCCACACCCCACCTAATAAAGAAAAGGAAATGTCGTATTTGTATTTATAAAGTATTAGCCGTTAGCGCCTGCTCCTATTCAAATTCAAACACTCTTTTTTTAATCTCTCTGTCGCTCTACCTCACAAACACGAAACTCTCTGCCTTTCCTTTTCTTATCTTCCCCGCTTCGCCATTTTTTTTTTCTCTTCTGTTCTCTCATCAGTCGTCAAATCCCAAATCTCTAAGAATGGCGACGGCTCAGTTTCAACTCAGCGGACGCAAACCTCTCCAACCAAAGAATTTTGCGGCTATCGGCGACGACAACATTGTGGTAGTGAGCAAGGAAGGCTCAAAGATTAAGCAAACAAAGTCAAAGCCAAGCAAGGTCAAGAACGGATGGGTGGAGATCTGGGTGGCGGACGATTCCAACAAGGAGAACCATGCATCACATTCCCGCGTACGCTACGCCTACGCCCGCGAAGAAGATTGAGGTGTTGGATTTGGATTCGTCGTTGGCGGAGGAGCTCAGCGCCTTCAGGAAGAAGCTGGAGCGGCTGAGGTTGGATAAGGAGAAGACGGAAAGGATGTTGAAAGAGAGGGATGCTGTGCTGCATTTCCAAATGAAGGAGCTGGGAGACAGAGGTCAGATTCAGAAACAGCTCGAAATCGAGGTTGATAGGTTGTTCAGATTAAAGGAGCTCAAATCTTATTGCATGGTAATTAAATTAAGCGACCTGGGTGGCTCTTAACAATAGAAATCTCTGATTTTGTATCTTGCAAATCGAACGAAATTGACTTCATTAATTTGTTGGCATGGGTTTTGAATCAGAGGATATCTCCAATAAAATCTCTGAGGGAGAGACAACAGGATGACAAGAAGATTAATGGAGGGCAATTGCATTCGCTGGTAAGTTGTTTGACTACTAGTAACTAGTATTAAACAAGAGTAAAACTGTACTGAAATCCACAATTTTGCATTTCTTTCTAATTTGTATTGTATTTCAATAATCCTCAGGAAATAAAAGCTGAAGATTCAGAGGAGGAATCCGTGGATGAAAACACGTTGCAGAGTCCAACCCCATCAGATTCTTCTGAATTTCATATAGAGAATATTGATGATTAAAAATCATGTCCAAAGAGCTTTCTCTTTTTGCTTTTGTGTTTCTTCGTTATTTGAGGGAGAGGACTGATTGATGGATCTCCTGTTTCGTTTTGAAAGGAAATAGAATATAATATCTCATTATGGTAACTGTCGTTGGGCATTCAAATTCTGAGACGCTCCTCTTTGACTAAAATCTTTCAATCCTTTATTCCTTAGGTATAGGGCTCCACAGCCTTCGACCTATGGCTGGAGCTGTTAGCATTACACACTGGGTAGAATCAATGCATAACGATGCAGCCATGGAAGGAAGACTGTAGTCATCATGATCGTATAAACTCTTCGTATTGCTTGGTGAAACCAAACCGCCTAGGAAAGTTTCGAACATGGATCAAACAAATTATCTGAAGCTCAAACATGTTTTCTTCTTTTATCCAAAGCTTCTGTTACGTACCAGGGTGACCAGAAGATTGTGGCTTGTCATATGTAATCACTGTAAATAAATATTCATGGAAATGATAGAAAAGTAACAGCCATTGGAAAAATCAAAGCATGCCTATTTATATCACTGTTGTTGGTACGCTAAGATATTAAACAGGCCTAATTCTACAACTAGCATCCTCCTTACCCTTAGAAAAAGAATACATCTAAAGGGATTATGATAAAAAAAACAAGCATGATGCACTTCACATGAGATGCCTTCTACAACCAGACGCTGACATTAACAAATAGCCAACATGAGTTTCTAGTTGCATCCAAGCTCATCTTTGCAACAAGGCGGGCCTCTGTTTTTAGGAAGAGTGGAAGGTATGGAAGCACCTAAGATGTGAAACAGCTGAGTTATGATTTTGCACAATCATCCCTCAAACACCTAGTTATCTCTAAAGGAAAGTGCCTACAGCGGATAAATGCAAATGAAAGTTTGTTTCAAAGTCAATAACCACAAACTCAAGAAAAAATGGAATAAAAGCATCCAAGATGATCAACCCTACATGTGTGCTCACTGAATGACAGATCTCCAGATTCCACTAACAGAATTTCCAATGGTTGTTGCAGTTTACACACGTTACATAGGTTGTCATAGGTTCATCTGCACTCCTTGTCTGCATTTGATAGTAAGTGGTCTTGCGTTGACCGCAACGACCACACTTAAATTGATCCGTCGTGGCCTTTGGTGCTCCTCCACGTTCACAATCAAATAGAGCTTTTTCTTTAATTTCTTTGTTTTCACGTTGCCTTTGCTCACTGGCCATTTCCTCTGGGGTCATTGCAATAAGCCTTTCCGGCTTCACTTCTCCCAGAAGAACCTTCCTCCTTAAATCTGGGTTGTTTGGATCCTTCACGTTGAACATTATAGATCTGTACTTAAATTTCTGGGTGCCATTTGATCTACCCATCTTTTCAAACATCACAGATTCTACAGATACAGCAACCCGGATGGGATCACAAGCATTCACTTGATCCAATATGTCCTCATCAGCCTCACTGGGAACTTTAGACAAGGCCTCTACAAGAATCTCCCGAAACTTGTCACGCAAAGGATCATTGCATTTAACCATTGACGTCAACTTTGGGGGACCAGCAGGTGGCTGTGATGGTTTCTTTACATCCGATGCTTGTCTCTCATCCCTATAAGTCCTTTCAACCTTAACGGTCTCTCTCCGATCTGTCTTCTCAGCCATTACGGTATCTCCATTTGCTTCCTTTTTCTCAACTTTGATGAGTTTCATTGAATCACTTTTAGATACTTTTTCAATCTTTACCATTTCTGCATTGGAGATCTTTTCGGCCTTCACAGCACTTGGCTTCTGAATTTTCTCAACCTTGACAGCACTAGTGGTGCCATTTTTCTTACTCTTGGTAGTCTCTTCAATAACAATTTTTTTCCACAACTCAAGCAAGTCAGAAGCCACAGTATGGATATTCTCCCTAGGATGCTTTGTGAGAGGTCGAAGCTTTTTTCCAACCTGTAATATATATGGGAGTTAAGATTTTTTAAATCATACACATTCACCAACATTCATGGAACTAAGTACATAACAACATGAAGAAGAAGCAGATGACAGTGACTTGGGTAAGACCCACTAATAGGTTAAAATTTGGCACCATCATCAGATCAGACTATAAGTATAACTACTTGCAATAATATCATCAATAAGAAGCAACAATTATATCTTCAAAAAGATATAATTGAAATATAACTACTTGCAATGATAGTTCATAGTTGTAATAACTGGGATATTTTAAGGCTCGATCCTATACCAACATTGGCCTTTTTATTAGTATGAAAACGTACATGATACATTTTTTTAATGATAAATCAACACATGAGAAAAATAAACAAAAAAAAAAAGCACGCCTGTTGGTTTCCGATCACAAGTATTTCAAAAATTATAAAACACAAAAGCTTTTAACATACTTGATGGGGGAGAAAATGTGATGCTACAAAAGGTGGATGGAAAATGAAGGAAAGAAACACTTTATTCCTTTACTTGGTAAGAAAGGAAAGTGAGGACAAACAAAAATGCGATGGACAGATGTATTCCCTATAAACCAACAAATAAATTGAGGGCAGGGAAAATGAGGAAGACACAAGATATATCCTAAGATTTTTTGTTATTTACTCCTAATTTTGTGAGAAACAAGAGGGCAAAAGCACAATTTCAGAAAAAATAAATAAAGTTTTTTTATTCCCTGCGCTCTATTCTTTTCCTAACTTTATAATCGACTTCTCTATGATTCCTTCTAGTCACAATCATGCTACAAAGAGGAGCCTTCCTTAGGTAATAACATAATAAATTTAAGTAGTCCTATAATTAGTTCAGAAAGAAGTGCAATTTAACTGTGCTAAGAATCTAAACACCAGCATTGTGGACACCAAATTGTGTATGTGTGAATGTGTGCAAAATCAAAAGATTCAAGCAATTTCTAATTTACCTAATCATCTTATCTACACTTAAATTAACACATAACAATCAATTAAATCCTCCTCTGAAGTTTATAAACTGTACAAATGGTATATAGGATTAATAATCAATTAAAGGAAAAGAACGGTTAATTTCTAAACCAACCAAAAAACAACAAAATTTCGAAAAGGGAATTAGTTGTGCTCCTAATTCGCAGTCACAAAATTAAAATAAAAATATCACTCAGGGACAAATTTAAATCTATACATGCGATTATTGCTTCATCATTATTAAAAGATAATAAAATATATATTCATTTGGGGGAGGAGGAAACTGAAAAAACCTGAGTAGAAACAAGAATATCATAAGTGACAGGGAAAGCCTTGAGCTGCTTCAAGGCGTCGACGCATCTGGAAACCTCAGGGCCGTTGGAGGAAACGGCATCGGTGGCGGCCAAATCAGCCGCTTTCTTGGCTGCCTCGAACAAATCCACTAGCTCCCTCTCCATCGCCAAAGCGGAATAACCCTAGAGTGAACAAACAGAAGAGATCTGGAGGAAATCCTTCACTTTTAAAGGGAGACAGTAACGAACTCCGAGAGGAAGCAGAGGCTTTGGTTTTGTGTAGAATTTGTGTTGTAAGTTTGCTTTCTGTTTTGTTTGGTGTTTCGGACCGGACTGGGTCAATATCAAGGCAGAGAACCAAGGCAAGGGATTTTGGGAAAACTCGGATCAAACGGTCAATGTTGTCAGGGGCTTCTCTTCATCGTAAGGGAATGGACGGTCTCTGATGATGCTTGTTTCGTTTCCTTCATTTGGGCTTTCCTCCTACCCCTAGAGTCCTCGACCAAGACTCATTCTGCTGCTGGCCTATCATATCACGTCCATGCTAATGTTTGGTATGATAAGAAGGGAAAAAAACATAGAAAAAGGAATATTAAAAAGAAAACAAAATTCTCTTTTATTTTAGTGGATTGGCTCGATTGGGCATGATCTTTCCATTTTTATCTAACGCAAGTGGCGGTAAAAAATCTTAATCAATCTTAAACCATATTAAAATTATTCCATTTAGTTTATTTTTTTTCCTTTTGTAAAAATTTATTTACCCTTTTTTTCAATAAATTGAATTATGTAAAAATTATATTTTGTCTTTTTCTGAAAAATATGTTGTATTGAAATATGTTTTCATTCTTTATGCACTCAACATATTCTTGTCAATTGCTTACTCGTTATTGATAGTGATACAATACAAAAGAAGCTACTAAAAGGGGAAACTCGTATCTTTATATATATATATATATAAAATGAATCTTTATTTTATAATTTTTATTCAAATAATATTTTGTATTAATAACAAGATTTGATCCTACGTGTCACTTTCATAATCATTAAACTCACCATTAATTAATATTTTTTATATTTGTAACAAATGATATTGTTTTTTAAAAATGATAAAAATAAATTGATTGAGAAACTCATCTTAAATTTTTTTTTCTATTGATCAATTTGTCATATCAGACAAGCTATTTCGGTGTACATGTCAACTGAACAATAACTAAAATCACATAATATACGTGAGATCGATTAATCAACACGAGGACTTATTAATGTTTTACTTAAAATATGAATTTATTTAAATCAATAAAAGAATAAGAGTGTTTTATTTACTAAATAAAAAATGAAGGATTTATTAGTAATTTAGTCATTTACTTTTTTCCACTAGTTTTTTTAAAATATAATTTGTAAATCTAATTTTGTTCCTTTGGATTCTTTCTTGAAAATGCGTGATTGTCTTTATAATATGGATCATTTTTTCTTTTTGAAAACGAAAGGAAAAGCCTCTTGAACTTAATCTAAGTGAAGGGCTTGATTCTTAACTTATTTTGAGTTTCAATGTCTCCCTATAAAAAAGAAATAAAAAACCCCTTAATAATAAAAGTTCTTGCAATTGCACTTACAACCAATTTTAATTACAAGTAAATTTCTTAGGTGAATATTAAATTTATGAAGAGTATTTGCAGTGCCGATTGAGAAAACATTTATAGAAAATTTTTATAATTAATATGTATTAATTTTTTTTATACAGAAAAAGTTACTTACTTTTCTAGTGCCAAACGACCTCTTGTAAGCCGTTGAATTGGTTTGGAGGTTAAACAGTCTTTCTACCTAATAACATTACCCACGTTTTGTTCATATAGAGAGAGGGGATTTGAATTTTTACATGGAGAGTTCTGTTTTTCTAATTAAAAAAAAAAATCGTTCACCAATAATTGAATACCATAAATAGCGTTACCATTTGAAAAGTTAAAACACTTGATAAACTCCAAAAAGTAGAAAAGGATCACATTATCTTTCATCGATCGGAAATTCAATTTTCCTAGAAAATTACTACGGTGGTAAGGTGGAATTCGACTATCGATGAAATTTTTGGTAAGACAAAGATTTCCGGAGGCAGAAGTTGGAAGACAGTTGCACACGTTTCTGAGTTGCGAACATCTTTGTTGAGTGAGAAATCAGCAAAAGCCCAAACTAGAAGAAGAAGAAGAAGAAGATCCAGAAACAGCAGTCCTGTCTCTGTCCTTCCTGCAAATCCTCATCTCAGCCACGCAATTTCTGGTCCCACACCCTGCCTGGATCAGACGGCAAATAATAGAAAGGTTTCACAAGAAGCCAGAGCCGTAGGGGCATTTCCGGAAATGACCACAGCGTGGAGAGCCAACCGAAAACGGCGTTGGAAAGTCGAAAGCTTGTGAAACTGAAAAGCAGGCGCTGGTGGTTGACGTTTTCTGGTACGTTGGGGACAGTATTGGAAATTTAAATTATAAGGCAGACACGGACACGCAACCGTGAAAACGGCAACACCAAGTTTCATAGGAGCTTCGCTCAGTGCCTGCTTTCTTTTCCTTCTCAGGTGAATAGATCCGTTTCCTTCTCAATTTACCATTTTTTACTTTTACTGATGGTAACAACATTAATTGAAAAGACTAACCTAAACATTCAAAAAAAAAATGTGGTGTTACCCGATTTTGTTTGACAGTTGACGTAAGTTACTTTTGTTATGAAGTTGTTAACGGTAATGCACATCTTTATCAGATGAATATTAAAATATTTTTCTTTATATTGGCTACATTATGTAAGTAACTTTTACGTATGATGTATTAATTGTTTAATTATTTTATTTAATGAGGATTTGATAAGTTATTTTATTTACAAGGGTAAATCTGAGTATAGTAGTACTAAATAGTTTATGGAATTTGATAAATAAGTATATAGTATAGCTAAATTAAAGGCAAAAACAAAAAGAAAAAGGGGGAAAGAAAAAGAAAAATGGGGATCTTATTATTATTATTATTGATATGAACGGCTTATGATGATGATGTTGGTATGGTAGTAGAAGTGGAGGAGGAAACAAGATCCATGATCTTGATCTACCATTTACATTTGGGCAAAAATTAAATCCAAAAAAGAAAAGAAAAAAAAATCAAGGTGGGGGAGGAACCAGGCCAGCCAACACAATCCCATAAGGAAAAAAGAGTGCCAAAGCCAAGATTGGTGCTTTACCACCCGTCTCGCTTCCGATTTCCTCGCATGTCGTGCCCTTTCTAACAAAACTTAACTTTCCCATTTCTCTCAATCGATTCGATCTCTGCCTTCTCAGGTTTTTAGATCTCTTCTTCTTCTTTCTTTTCTTTTTTTTTTCTGCCTGCCATTTCACTATTATTTCGTTTTCAGTGCATTGATTCGTGCTTTGCACTTCTCCCGAGACGATAACTCTTCTCTTCAATTTCTATTTTTTTAATCTTAATTTTTCTTTAATTTGTGAATTAGGGTTTTCAGGGCTGTGTTAAAAATAAATGCTAGGACTATTGTCATAGCCATATCGCCATAGCCATATCTATCATTTG